TTTACAAACTCTACTCTTTCGATTTCAACGTACATAAATCCAGCTTCTTACTTCGACTTCTCCTCTATCTACCTGACACTGCACAACTCTCCCTTCTTTTTGCTGTACTCCTTTATCTGTGCGTTATATTCTTATATTCCCGTAATTTACTTTAATTTAAGTGGTCAGTATGAATTTTATCTTGACTTACTACTGTATTGACTACTTCAACATGACAGGTTAAGTAGTGCTTTGGTTATATATACACTTGCTGCCTTTTTCCCTCTCTCTTTTCTCCTTTTCAGAACCCCATTCACGGTGGGGAATCCTTGTCGACTCTAAGGAACATGCACCCTATGTACATGACTGTCTGGATCACAGCTCGTATCAAGCGCGTTCCATTTGACCTTTCCCAACAAATTCACTATTGATCTCGGCAAATCGCTAAATGAACCTATTGTGCACCTTCCTTATTTGTACTCTACTATTGAAAATGTGGCTGTATTATACTGTTTCTGACAGTAACATGGTGTAAATATGCTATCAGAAACTGTCTCTTATACTTAATTTAACTGCTATAACTTTTACAGTAATTGTGATGAAACCATTTGTGACAATTTGATCTAGCCTGTAGAGTGGCGTGACTCTTGTAACGTAGTTATTTGAGAATAAATATATTATTATTATTATTATGGCGTGTTCTCGCTACACAAGCAATATGTCATTATTAATCATTTCAATAATGTTCCGTATTTTTTGCAAAGCAAGGTTAGTTTTCACGTTCTTTCAGAGAAAGCTGTACACCATTATCACAAGTTATAGTGGTGTAAACTATTTCCTTTGTTGATCACCGTTTGTATTTCGGATCTTTATAGTGACTGATTAATAAACTGGCCAGAAAACTAACAGTATAGTATAAAACGAATTGTGAACTATGCGTAAGGGCCAGTTTTTGTGAGAGATTTGAAGTGAGACTGCAATCCAAATAATCAGTGAATTTCGAGAGTTGCTATTCCGGATACACTTTGGAAGTCCCGTGTTAAAATTTGAGGGATAGACAGTATCCTGGGATCTTACCTGAGGAGTAAATTATTTTGCATTAATCTGAGTAGGTTATGTGATCACATTTTATAGAGCTTTAACTAGCATTTTCTCAAAACTTTCAATGAACTTACTCGCTTATTCAAGAGCCTCAATTACTGGTCTTGTTTGAGACCTTCCATTTTGGCTATAAAAGCACAGAAACGTGGCATGAAAGATGTTTACAACCTGTTATTTGCTGCTGTGTAATTGTCCACACCTACCAGTATGTGCTTACCGGGTGAGGTTGAGATCACAGCCACGCACATTTAGATTCAGAGTCGACTGATATAGGGAGATTATTCAGTATTCTGCAGTTAGGTTCATAGTTTATTTTCATTATCACTACTTAAAAAGTATTCATTATTTAATAACTTAGATAAAATTGAATACAGTTTAGATATAGGTGTGTTACAGGTAGATTCATTTACTTCACATTTTTGGTTTCCCCAAAATCGTCAAAGAGACTGAGAAGAAAGTACGGAGGAGTCGATCGCCTATTTTAGTTTTGGTCACATACCAACTTCATTATTTTATAACTTAAATCCACAATTGGTCAATGAAAGGTACAAACACCGATTCGTGGAGTAAGAAGTTTCAAAAGTTGACGATTCGATAGAAAAACTCGTATGGTGCGTGTGGGCTTTTCGTCTTTGGCCTTAAAACTTGTCTTTTGTGTCCCCCAAGTTGTAGGAAAAAATAGAAAACATATTTTGCCTAAAATGATTTCTCAGCGATTTATAAATCAAAATCAGATGACTTTTTGAAGAAAAGATGTACATGGTTTAATAGTGAACCATGTCTTCTTAAATGTTTTCATTCATTACATCAGTACTCATGTACGTAAATCTGCGTTCAAAAGTATAAAGGGTTTTTAACCCCTCTTAATTCCACCTCATGACAATGTGTCTTGGTTCAAAAGTAGTGGCTCATTGTTAGTTATGTACTTGTGAGACGTGGTAAGTTTCGACACTGTTGTTGTTATTTTGCTTTGGTACCTATTGTGTGGTCTTGAAGTCACTCAACTTCTTTACTAGGCACCAATGTTTTAGACCAACCAGCCTGAATGTCCGGGTCTGCCTGGAAAACAATTTATCCGCACATCCTGTTACTTTTCGTCAAAGGTATACTTCACCAGCGTAAAGTAGCTTACTGGACTTAATGAAAATCGGGACATTATTTATAAATGATATAAAGAGCAAAGGGATCTGGTCTAGAACCCTACCCAAACCACTCACCACTGTTTCCACGAGGAAGATTTAAAATTTATCCCTACTTATATCCACAACCTATCAAGAGACGTTTGTCCTGATTTTGGAGGGGTCCTGCAGTTCTTAGTTTATCATGATTCTCCAGGAGTCTACTATTCAACACACTAACAAATGCTTTGTTGAAGTCTAGGAAAACAATATTCACTGATTCGCTGTTATACAGTAACTGTGGTATGAGTAGATATGTTGTGTTAAACAATTATTTACTGAAGGGACATCTTTCTTTATTTTTCCTCTCTCGGAACCCTATTATCAGTGGAACATCCACACAGTCTTCATGCGCAATGCATCTTCCGTACGCGCACGTCTAGGTCATAGCTTGTATCAAGTGCTTTCCAACTGACACCTAAAAACAAATTCACTCCTGATTTATGCAAACCACCCAAGACTTCCATTCTGTACCTTCCCCATTTGTACCAACTCACTAAAAGTGTGACTGTATAAAGCTGTTTCTATCAGTGACATGGTGTAATTGTTCTACAAGAAACAGACTCTTATTTCTAATCTATCTTAACTATGTTTACTGTAAATATGGTAGCATTTTTAGCATTTTGAACTAGCCCGTAAACTGGCATACCTCTTGTAACACGCTGTTATTTGAGGATAAATTTATGATTATTATATCTCACTAACTTATTATTTTTAACTGAGGTTGTAAATTTTTTGATTATTCATACACGGCATCTTAATCATAGCACTGTTGAGGCTGATAAGTTTGAGTTTTGGTGCAAGTTATCATGGTCCCCTTTTATAAACTAGGTTTTAAACTTAGTTCTTCCAATCTGATGGTAATTCGCGTTAGATAAGTGATATATTGAATATCGTAGTCAGTGGGATTGAGATTTTTGTGTTATTTTACTAAAAACATTTGCAAATGGTTTTTTATTCTCAATAGTTATTCTGTATTTAAGGTAATAGAATTTTCCACTACATCTGTTTGATCAAAGTACATTGTGACTAACAAATTCGGCAACTCTGTTCACATGTCTAGTCCTTTATCTAGACTTTGGAAATGAAACAACTGTCCTGCATTTTTACATAAGCTGTCTCACAAAAACAACTTGGAATCCTTGACTTTCTTCCTACAAACCATGACGACGTATCTACATCGTTTTGTGTGAACTTTTCTTAAACTTATAGCGTGTTACAGTTATTGATGATTCGTACTCCAGAAGGCCAAAAATTGTACCTACAGAAGACCTGAGTGGAAACCTTATTCAAGGACTAGTCAGGAAGATATTTAGTCATGATGGGATACCTGATGCATTAATCATTGATAATAAAATGCACTTAAAAGAAAAAGAATTTAACAGTTGGTTAACGGACGTCTATTTACAACTTTGGGATATCCTGTCTGGTGGTTTATTAGAGAATGTCGTTCTAACTGTAATGAGTGTTATCGTGTCAGCGAATCTAAGTAATCTAGAAGAGTTAGAAAACATCCATAATTTCTAACTCCAACATACCTAGATTTAACTTGCATTGTTTCTCAACCGGCAGTGATTCGTCGCAACGCGAAATACACAACTTGCACCAACTATTGTATTGCGCATATCAGAGTCTGAAACAGTCACAGTAGTATGTAAAATCTATTAGCCTCTTATAAAAAGCCAGTTTACTTTGTGAAATATTCACCTTAGTGAACAAACTTTATAGAAAGTTTTTTGACAATTTTAACATTAGATCTTTTCGGCAAAGCAGCAAGTTGTAATTTGAGAACAAATTGCATTCATTACGGAATATTCAGTAACTCACGACAGTCGGATAAAATTTTTCATATGTTTTGAACACATTTGGTAAATAAAACATCATTGGAAGTACAAATTTACCGAGAAAATGACTTATGACCATCTAAGAGAATTATGGTTAGGATATTCCGTAGTCGGATACATCGTATTAGCCAAGATTACTGAAGCAGGCTATTCGAAATTCAGTTCTGAATGTTTCTTAACCAATCCTCATTCAGTAGATAATACAGAACTTCAGATATATTATTCAACAACATTCAACATCAAATTGTGATGATTTCTCTGTCAATAATGATCTTTTAGATGATCATAAATTTTAGACAGATGGAGAGGATGAAAATTGGAATGCTTAACAATCGAGTGTACAAGAACCATTAATAGTTCGTACCTAAGGCTGCAAACCGAATCTCTCCCCTGATTGCTACACATTACAGCGTTAATCTCTACTCAACAATAAGGCTGTAAAGTGAGTGTATACAAATAAAAGTGAAAAGAAAAATTAAAATTTTAATTTATATTAAGATGATACTTCCCAATTAATGCAAATTTTCTTATCGCTTCAGTCGAGTTTTGAAATGCTTGACAGTCTGAACGAAAGAGTAATCCTCTGTAGCTAGATACGGAAGCTTGTTATTCGGTGGCTTCTTTTATTCTACTCATAACGATTTGGACAGTTCATTACATAAACATGACATCTTTTCAAATGGTGACGAAACTGTGACCTTGAATCAACTTGTCTGATGAGTTATGGTCATTATGGAATATTTTATATAGGAATTGTCATAGTGATAACTTTCTGTGGGGTTAATTGCCGAAATACAACCTGCTTTCCCAAAAACAACTCAGTTTCTGAATTGCTGTTAGAGTCTACTGACATTTTAATCCAAGAAGAATTGTTAAAATTATGCCCGAAGAACACATCTCTGCTTCTTGTTACAAGTTATGAAGTTTCTGGCCGTCGAATTTTATCCCCTGGATTTTTAAGAAGTTCTGTCCTACCCAGATTGAAGGGGCTATATATCAGTGGTATTCATTTGGAAATTCCGAGAACCGATTTGCGCAGCAATGTTACTTCTAGTCTGGTAACTTTATCGATCTCAAATTGTAATATACATTCTCTACCACCTTTTGGTATGTTGTTGGGTCTCACTAATCTTCAGATGCTTGACTTAAGTCTCAACAAGTTGAGTGGGTTGCCAGTTGATACTTTTCAGTATTCAAAAAGTTTGGCCTTCGTAAATCTTTCTCATAATTATTTTAAAATTTTACCAAGTTTACCGCATCCACTTGAAGTGCTTGTGACTGAAAATCCCATAACCTGTTCCTGTGTTAATTCTAGGTTGTTATTAAGAGGCAGCTTCGAGGGTCTTCCAGTTTGCAATCCATGGCCCTCACCTTGTGAACCCAAATTAAACGCTTCTTTATATTTGAAATCAACTGAGCATAACTTTTCATCTCTTGGTGATAATTCTTCTTTTTTTGCTTTGACAGGACATCGCCTTTCTTTTATTTGTAATGTCAATTCTGATTTACCGTATGAGCTTTTTTGGGTTTCACCTATTGGTGTTATCTCACTTTCCACCACTGACTTTGAAGTTATTACATATTCACTGTCTTACGTTGTTCAGCCCATTTTAGCTCCCACAGTTTTACACATAACGCGAGTTGACGACACAAAAAACTCATTAGATATAGAGAACGCCAGAGGATATTTAAGTGGGAAATGGTTGTGCGTCGCCCATTCTTCAGAAGCTACTAGTCACTCTATACCTATTGACATCAAAGTTGTTTCCAGTTTATACTATGCACAAACATATTACATATCGCTTTGCTGTGGCTATGGTGGAATGATCCTGTTATTGTTGGTTGGTATAATCGGCGGTGCTATCAGATATTGTAGCGAAACTCATTGTTTCAGGCGTCCTCAACCATCTTGTGCATTTAAAGGAAAAACTTATGTCGGTGTCATTCCAGTTCCCGAGGTAGAGTGTGTAGAAATTTTACAAAAGTTTAAAGCTGCTGATAAAATCCCACTAGGAGACCCGGAATGTACTTATAATAAATATTTCGGCCCGAACACTCGCTGGAAATGTCGTATGTGCAAAACTGTTCATTTCGTTGAAAAAATTCAGAAAATCGAAGAGGCTGGTTCATTAGTCGCATCCGCTAATGTACCCGTAGGTTTAGTATCTCCTGACGGTGAAATAATCGTCATAGATGATGATCAAAATGATATTCTGCAGCCTACTTCAGATCATAATTTTGAGTCGATGGAAACTCACCAACCGCTTATGAATGTTTCTAATGTGGGAACTAATGAATCTAATATCCATTCCAACCGCTCTCATATATGTAAATATGAAGTTCTTGTACGGTCGGGAAATTGTGTGATAAAAGTCGGACTCGAAAATGATTATCCCCATTCCTTCGACTACTCGTATTCACTTACATCTGTAGATAATAAGTCTTGTGTTTCCTATCTCCCTCGTCCAGGGAGCGCAGACGTGAAGCTAGTTGTATCAAACGAAAAGCTTGCACAAGAATACCGTGAAGCCTTGGCTAGTTTAGCTCAGGCCGTTGAAAATCCGGATCCCGCACACTTTCGTGAAAAGCTCGAAGACTTTCGAAGCAGACTCTGTCGTGATGTTGGTCATGGGGTAAAAATTTTGCGCGGTGAGTTTCAAGACTTGAGGGCTAAGTCTGCAAAAAGCGTTGCATCTCTTCGTAACCAAAGTTCTGTTGCTGCACAGCGCATGCGGGCAGGAATCTCTTATGGTGTGGAGCAAATGAAAGATGGTATGCGCAGTGTTGCTGAACTTTGTGGGGCCTCAGGAACAATTGGTCAAACCATATCCGTTGTGAGTGTGTATGTAGATGAGAAAGATCAAATTAAAAAGGAAAAACATATTTCTGATTTTGTCTTTTAGTTTTGGTGTTCTCTTTCATTGTATTTCTGCCTTTCAATCTTTCTAGTTGTTTCACATGTTTATAGTATGTGATGGTTTTTACCTCTTTATTCGCGAGTTGCTATCGTTTAGGTATGCCTACATTCACAGAATTATTTATTTTACCTTCATTTTATTGTTTCACTGAATTACAATCTTATTTTAAAATCGATTTGTTTGTTCGACCTTATTTTCCAGTAAAAGGTTATTCATAGTCTCACTAACAATTATGCTTTGATATCACATTAAATCAAATAAACAATTCATTTTAATTCTGAGGTTTTATGTTAGTATTAAAAATGTAATACTCATTTGTTATTTATAGAAGTGTTGCTTTGACGGTTAATTTGGATACAGTTTGGTATTTCAGAATATGAGTTCTGAAGTTACTAACCTGGTATCTTTATTATACTGTTAAAAGTTGTTTATCTTCCTTACTTTAAATTTTTCTTAATTTGTAACACTTTATGTTTTCTGAAAACGCAACACCAGTTGTACTTAAGAATTTTACGCTTTTACTTCATCCATCATTGCGAGTATATGCATTTACACGAAAGTCTGTACATGGATATGCTTTTAAGTTGAATAGCAAGTAACTGCTTGGTCAAATAACTCAAATGTCTGAGAGATTTATATTACATAGTGTCGCTCTAAATCTCAGTACTGACTTAATGGGACGCAGTTTTATATTCAGAACAACCAAACCAAAACATGGCGAAAATCCATAAAGTCACTGACAAGTGGACTGAGTCATGTTGGTAAATGTAGGCCACCTGGTTGCGGTCCGCGAGAAGAAAGTCACTAATGGTTAGAGACCTTGAACGACATGGCTGAAAATCTTTTGTAATGGCGCAGGTGCATCCACTCTTTGTGTTCTCTCTAATTCTAACCTTATGAATTCCTCATAAGCTCTCTTTCTCCTTCTAAATTTGTCACTGAATTATACTTCTCGAATCATATTTTCGCTCCCTAATCTCCATTATTGCTAATACTTCTACTATCGCTATCACTCTGGGATTTGAACTGACAGTTGCATCTATGTGGTGATGTGGTATGGCGACCTGAACTGATATACTTACGTACGAAGTTCTGCGTTGTATCTGTCTGTCAGAACAACGGTGGGTAAAAATGCAGTCACTACGTTTAATATTCCATAAATATTTTCTCCGTACATCAATAATATGAACAAATGTCTTATGCTAACAGTAAGATATCTACCGAAGGTATAGCATGTGAAGCTTACTGAGCTATGCTTAAAGGATATATATATATATATATCCCTCAGACAATGACAGTTACCATCTATAATAGCCTATTTTCGACGTTTGAAGTCTAGAAGCGTGTTTGTTGCATTGAGTTTGTACTTTCAGGGGGTAGTTTAGCAGCTGTAATTTAATGCTGGTGATATTCAGATTTCTTTAAGCTAGATTACTGAATATATTCAGAGTAAGTTTGGATGGCGTCAGCTGTTACCTACCCCCAAAATTTCAGCAAATCGCAGTTACAAACAAACAGTTAAGATGAAAGAAGTTGAAATTTGGAACGTTCAATAGTCTATTGTGTATGAGTGTAGTTTATACAGCTTTTCTTCACAAGATTCATAATTCGTATAGAATATGTATAAAACCTAGCTGGAAATCAGTTTAATCACGTTCAATTACTTTAAGAGTAAGTTTGTTGATTATTTGAGCTTAGTAAAATTAATCCTGATTTCGAAATAAGGAGGTTAACAGATGTCATAAAATAAGCTATTCAGGGGCTAAGAAAAGGATTAATGCATGGTCTGGAGGGATCTAAAATTTTAATGAAATGCTTTGATTTGGAAAGCATTTACCAAATATATGCAGTACTTCCAATAAAAATACTTTGATGAATAGGACTTTTTTGAATTTTGTTTTTAAATAGGGGTTGTGAACTCGAACTCTTATCTGCCTGTCGAGGTTTTGGCACTATTACTCCTGACAACAGGTGCATTTTATAAACATATGTAAAATATATGGCTAGTGATAATTTAAATCACATATCAGACACAGTAAAAGCATATAGAGGTACCCGTACTTAAATTCAACCAGCACAATATACGGACCAAGTTTATGAATTGTAGTTACGGTAGATCTCATTTTTAACTTTAGAAATCAAATTGTAGGTAAAATAGGTTTTTTTAATTCTTCATAACCCATGGGGTTTATATATTCGAATAGTAGCTTTACGAAAACACCTATGAGAAATGTTTTGAAAAACCATTTGATGACAGTTAGTTTTCAACCACTTGAGTTAGTTTATCATGCATAATAAGGACAATTTTAAATAAGTTTTAGCAGAAAGTTTCCGAAAGTAGATTAGAATACGGATCGGACCTCTAGGTCAAAGACTCCGAGAGTGTGGCGGATTGATATTTAGGTGCCCCTATGTACCAATAATTATGTGCTTAAATAAAACAAAGTATGGTCCATAACTAGACATGTTTTAGCTAGCTGGAATCCGATAAAAAGCTTGCAATCAACCAGAGTACTCTGGGACCTGCTACACGAGTGAACCATATAGTAAATTTGCATTGGATATCTTGTCGGTATCAAGATTTGCACTATAGTGTCTAAAACCGTTACAATTATACATGTACATTATAAAGGAGGTTAGTCTGTTAAGGTGCCTTGAAAGCATTATTTAGTGTTATGATTCGTTACTGGATCATCCGAATTTTGATATAACTGGTGGCGTAGATAAGTTATCCGTCAGTAATTCACTCTGTTTTACCTTATAGCTGCAAAACGTAACCTATAAAAGTGGATATTTCCAGGTTACTGGTTTTCGGTAGGATACTAGGTAAGGATTGCAAATCGATTGGTGAGGTAATAAATCATCTGAGGTAGTTGGGACACGTGTTGCGCATATCCGACTACCAGTTCTTTGACGACAATGGTGTCTGGTGTAGGAGCGAGCAGGAGAAAAGAAAGGAGTGGCTGAACCTAGACGTACACCACCAATCAACTGCCGACCTGAGCAATGTTGAAAGGTGTGGATTACCGTAACCAACGCAAACATTGGTTAGAGATATTGAGTGGTGTTGCTCAGAATCCGCTATAATGGCTAGTTATTCACTCTTCACCTTTTCAATGTTTCCGAATCCCGAAATCTAACACCCAATTTGTTTGCTTGATAATCTTAAATCGATGTATGAATGTGATATGACAACTTGAGCCGATGCACCTAAATGCCAGGTTCTATTCGCCATATGACTAACCACTTTATTTGCTAATATTTTGTACGTTTCCAACTGGAAACCAAGGTACGAGCCTTACTATAGTATGTTTCATCAGCACTTAATTTCTTGTGGCGAGTATTTACTTAATCAGCCAGATGCAACATAGAACTTCGTACGTAAGTACATCAGTTCATGTTGCCATACCACATCAGCACAGAGACGCAACTGTCACTTCAAATCCCATAGTGGAAGAGATAGTAATACTACTGGTAATAGAGAAGATTAGGGTTCCAAGATATTATTCAAGAAGTATAATTTAGTGAGATAAGTTTAGAAAGACAAAAGTAGTGTTGAAGAATCCAGATTAAGATTTGAGAGAACACAAAGAGTGGATGCACTTGCGCCATTACAAACATAGCTCAGTCCGCTTGTCAGTGACTTCATGGATTCGTGCTGTTTTAGTTTGGCCGCCCCTAAGCTTTCTTCCAACCTACTCCTACACCACAAAACATAGCTCGTCGCGGCAGTTGGTGGTTGGGCATTCGCAACACATGTCCAAACCACCTCAACTGATGAAGTTTCATTACTTCATCTATTGATCTGCCATCCTTACCTAGTACTCGCTTCCTAATGACAGCATTGCTTACTCGGTTGTCCCACCATACACGAGCAATGCTTCCAAGACATCTATGGTCGAATGCTAGTAACCTCTACTCTTACCGGCAATGTTTCGGATCCATATAGGAGAACGGAGATAACTGCTGTGCAGTACATTCGTCCTTTAGTCAGCAAACGGATATCTTGCCTTCGCCATAAGCATTTACTTAAAAGACGAACAGAGTGATATGACCATACAATGTTCACGCCTGCTGCGACAGTATGTTACGTTAATTTGGCGGCATTAAAAACATGCAAAATATTATTTCTAGAATTACCGGAATAAAGCTTCATTGAGGTACATATACAAGACATGGAAGATATTGTTAAGTAACTTACTGAGAGTGAAATTTCATAGTATTAAAAATGAAAAGGTGTCACGAAACCTTTTGCACTTTGTTACGTTGTGAACTGTTTAGGCATTAGTTAGCACGGGACGGCATGGCTTTTATTAAATGCTATCATGGTTTCTTTAGTGGTGTACAAAATCTCAGTGAAAGTGAGATGATAAACTTGTGAGACAATTTCATCTTGTTTCTGGCAGTTTATAAACCCAGGAACACTGAACTAACACTTTCAGTGATATTTACTTAATTTCAAAGCATTCTATACAATATATACAAAATGTGTAGCACGTTTGGACGGTGTTTACCCAAAATGTGATAGGGAAAAATCAACTGTGTTCAATTTTATAACTCAATGAAACTATAGAACTAGTTTCATAATACTGCTATTACTTCTGATACTACTATTATGTCGTTCATCTCCCTGTGAGGTGGGAAATTGAATTGAAGCATATTTGTGACGGTTTCTCATAACTGAAACATTGGGAAAATTAAGGTTTGTGGATAGATACAGGATAGCACTGCCATCTCAATAGCACCTTATGAAATGAGAACCGGGTGAAATAGAATGAAGTTATGATTACTGACTCGTTTTTATCCGACTTGTTCAGTATCTGAACGTGCTAAAACTATAGAGTTAGTGAATAAAACTCTCAAACTGTTTACTTAGGCATCACTTTTTAAAGGAATAGAAAGTACGCATAAGAAATACTGTTTCCTAAGGACTATAAGACTGTTAATAACTTTATAAATGGAAGAGTACTATGAAACACTATTATGTTTATCCTAAGGAAAATTGTATCTAGTTATGAAACCCAATCACCAGCCTTAGGAAAATCATAATTACAGTCGTTAAAGATGAATATCTACAGTTTGGTGGTGTGAAGGTGTCATATAGATATTAACGAAATTGCATGTTGATCAGATTCAAGACATTTAACAAAGCGAATAACTTCATACTAGTGCTGTTGATACATTGTAAAAAAAATCTATAGTGTTTTCGAAGATGTATATCACCATACCGTGGTAATTCAATCGAGCTATATTAACAAGTCGGTCGGAGTACGGTAAGACTAACAGCAGCAACTTAAGGTTTGAGGATAAAATCATACTGCTGAATGTTGGGCGTTGTGACAGTAGCAAAGTGTTTCCCTCGGACGACCAGGAGCTCTAGCGATGCTACATTCTCAAATGAAAGGAAGGGGTTAGAAAAGGTCGACTCTAAATGTCTTAAACTTCACCGTACCCCACGGATTTTCGTCTCTGGTGGTAAGGCCATTTAAAAAGAGGAGATAACACATCAGAAAATTTCCATAAGAAGACATTGAGTGAAAGACCTCAAGTAGTTGTTCATTTTTCTCTGCAGCAATGCTCCCAGGTCACTAAGACCAACACCAACCTAGCTCTCTTTCCAGCTCACAATATGGCGTAGTCTTAAGCATGTGATAGTATTTTAGGCTTTGGGCTTATTTTAAGACACACGTGTATTTTGCGAATCACCGAATATCAGATTGACTCTCAACCTGTGGTCACGTTCAATAAACTAGGTCAACAGACATAGATGCCAATCGCATCACCAGATCATTGAAGATAGAAGATAATTAGTATGAAATTCAAAAATCTGCTGTTACAGGAAATATTTACTGGACGCATTTATAACTGCTGTGCCTACTGTTGATTGAAATACCCGCTCCACTTCCTGATTTTTAACATACAGTAATTGCTTTATATGGTACATTTTTGTACAGGAATTTACATGGGGTCGTAAATGAACAACTTTTAGACTTACAATGATAATTTTTTGATTTTGGAGGTTTTTTGTAAAAAAGGTATTAAAATTAGTACTCAGTAAGAATTTATGAGCCTATTCAACGTTAAGTGATTACACTAATAATGAAAAAGCTTGAGGATTTAAAAATAATGTTTTAATAGACAACAAATACTTCAGATTATTAACAAACAAAAGTGTTAAATATATATCTACAAGGTTGTTGGTGTGAGCAACTACTTATGAATGCCTACAGGGAAGGTTTTTACATTTATCTAATGCCTGAACTCCGACTGCGGGCGGCGGTTCGCTTGTTAATAGATCTATAATAGTTTGGAGGAGTCGTCCTTCTTTACTTGTTCCATCCCAATTAACCACGCTAGGATTTTTAAACTTTTGTTCTAATAATCTATCCATACATTTCCGTAAATCCTATGAAAAATAAAATAAGTTGACATGAATGAATATTGTAAAAAAATGCACCTAAAACCAGCTAAAAAGGCATCTCATTTGATCTCTATAAGAGGCGGTATCCAATAGGAACTGAAATAATATTCCCAGGTTAATCAGTTTATATCGTTCGGTACCTTCGATGACTGTAATCACTCTGCAATAACACAGTCCCATTAAATACGTTGATTATTTTATTAAGTAATGCAACACAACATTTTTCTGACTTCTACGTTCGACACTTGAATAAGTTTGACTATCGTTAATATTTTTGTAACGCTTTTGTTTTACTACAGAATACTAAATGTAAACACTCATTTATAAATAAGATTGTGATGTGTGTTTATTTTGTTAATCCAGACGCTCTTTTACACAGCAATTTCGCTTTTAAACAACGTGACAACAAAATGCATGTTGAGTCATTGATCGATAGACTTCAATCAGCATGGAATAATAGACAATATGAAGTTGACTAATTAAGAGAATGTTGGCATAAATTTGGGGCAGTCTTCATTATCATAAAAGAAAAACATATTATAAGAGGGAGTTTTAGTTGTCAATATGGTTCTGTTAATAAAGAGATGTCCACATCACATAAATCAATCACTTCACCGATTTCTAACGTAACAGACATTTCTCTCTGACCCACAGTTTTAACCAATTCCATACTTAATAACAAAAGGGTGAAAACTCATTAAAAGGGAACAGATCACATCATTAATATAAAATTCTTAAAGTTCGAAATATATTCGCCTCACGAGAAAACACATACTTCTAAAGTGATTTCAACCAATGTAGTTTAGTGCCACATAACCGAGGACTTCAATAATGTGATACAGGTTATTTTGGCTAAACATATAGATTTACAGAGCGTATTATTGTTAACATCTGTCTCACTTCCAATTCGATTGAAATTTGTAAGTCACAACTTCTTAATAGATCTACTTGGAGTTCCATTAGGAGTTTAACGTGGGAAAGATATGTGAAATTAATTTTAAACAATATGTTCCTAGAATGTGTGATTTATAACTCATTGAAAAGTATGAAATGCTGTATTGTGTTGTCTTTTGGCAGCGAATCGATTTATAATATGGACATAGGAAACTGTAACTTAACGAAGGACTTTATTAGACATTAACTTATTGATTTATGTATATAATTCACGGATGTAAAAATAATGTGAATTGGACTACAAAGAAAATCAAAAAAGGAGAGATTTATTCATTTTACAACTTACTTTCAATAGATTGACTACTTTCAACTCTCCACTAAATTTAATCCATTGATCAATAGTGAAAAGACTTGTATCATTCTAGAAAAGTGGAGAAACATTTTATCACCTTTTATTGAAATAAACTACATAAAAAGATTTTATGCATTGCTAAATACGATAAAAAGTGCTTTTTCGTAAAACAGACTTTATTTACTCAGTGTTAGCAGTCTCACCAGTCAACTTTACAATGTTTTTAGTCAGTTAAGCAATCTGATATTACACTGGTTACTGAATGGTTAAAGGTAAGTGATAGAAATATTTAGACTGAGTTATTTTACATTCTGGAATTCGTTAGCACGGAATAATTGTTTCTTAAAACAAAGATAGATCCAAAATTGTATTACTGAATTCTACGATCAAAAATTGGTATTGTTATTTGATCAAAGTCTAGAGGAAATTATGAGCCTACTGATAAGACATTCAATTAATTCATGAAATTTAGAATTAACTATACTTATCCATATTTTCTGACCATGTAATATAAAATAAATTATGTAAAAACTGTATTAAGTAAAGGAATTAGATTTTTGGTTCCAGTAAGCAGATAAAGAATCATCAAAAAGTACATTGTTGCGTAGTTAAGTATCGTATTATGATTAATCGTAAGTTGGAAATGTATTCATTATTTTACTTTAATTAACAGTCAAGTACTGCAAAAAAGTTTTAGAATTATGATAAGTGCAATCTGCTGTTCATAGAGCATGAAGATTAAATGAACTTTCAAAAGATCCCTTAACTACTCTGAAGTGTTTACCGAACATTTGAGCGGGAAATACAGATACAAAATCCTTTAAAATCTGTACGGTATATACAATGTATGCTATGTTAATTGATGGGAATTAGTCATTAACTTGATTCAAATCTTGACCCAAGTTTCCTACCTACCACTCACATTATAGATTGAGAAAACTCTCAACGATTGAAACGAATCAATGTTAGCAGTTGCATCCGATAACTCGGTCCGTAGTTGTACATAAACATTAGTCAAACAACCAGATCTATATTAGACAGTCCAACCAATTATGTTAACAAATCAATAGTTGGTTTCACATGCTGTTCGCTGGATTTCCTGACACGACTGATTCATATATAGCAAGCTGAAAAAATATTTAACTGTCTTAGGGATAAGTAAACAAAGACAACATAAGTCTTTTTTTCGATAACGTTTGGCAGCAAGCAGTTGAGCATAATCCATTGACTACTACGTAGTTAATTTATTACATTCGAATAAGAAGATTCTATGTGAATAGATAAATGAAATTCACAACATAGATTCTACTTTGAGTATGATGTTTCGATAGTATTTATACTTAACATTACTCGGAAATAGTGAAGCTAGAAAGAAAATAACAAGAAATGCTTCGTTTATATCATGCCATTATGAAAAGTTTAAGTGGATAGACTTAATAAAACTCTCGGGATAATCTAAAGATTATTCAAGCGTCAAAGTATCAAAGAATGGTGTTTTTCAGCTTGTCTTAAACGTAAAAGTAGAAATAGTATTTAGTAATTTCTAGTCAAAGGTTGACAGCTAAGAACAAATGTCAGAAAGAAACGGTGGCAAATTGATTATAATGTGATTTTAGTGACCTTTTGCAATTAATAATTTTATTAAAAAGCTTCAAATTTAAGAATTAATAATTTTGTCTTTATGATTGACTATAAAATTGGCCAAAGTTATTTAAAAATTCATTATTGCCCTTTTTTCCAGCTTGTAATAGAACAACTTATCATTTACCAAGAAAAAAAAACAACAGCATTTATTTCGGAATATAACAGGCAACGTTTTATGTTTAACTTTTTTTTTATGGTTATGATTAGAAAACAAATAATTAATTTGTCTCAAATAATAAGAACGGCATACTCAACAATATTACAAAGAACTAACCTTTGATATTTCTATATTACCGCTGAAAAATAGCAAAGGTCTCAGTGGTACGACAGTTGAGTCGAATATGGAAGGACGCTGAAAAGCAAATTAATGAATTCAAGTGTATAAAAACAGTTCTGATATTTTTTACTAATAAACAAAATAATAATAATGGTATTATTACTAAGAAAACCAATGATTTGAAAATGCTTAAGAATATCTATGTTGAGTTTTATTTTACTTAGTTTAGCTGAAATTATAGAGTTATGGTTATAGATTGGCTATATTATAGGCAAACAATGATATTAATTGAAATGAGATCTATTTTCCTGTTACACAGCATAGAATTCGGTGCAAACATACAATATCAATGTTGTGTATACCACTAAACCATTGCTTGCTGTAAAAAAAGTTTAAATATAATCAATCATGCATAAGTTGGTAACCGAAGGTCACTGAATACTGGGGTTTGAGTTTCATTGACATAACGTTTGGTAATAGTAACTTTCAGATAACAGTTCAAAATTGGTGCCGGTAAAAATTAAAATGATGTATTTCCTCAAGTTTATTTATAGTATTTAACTGTTCAATAACAATGTGACATAGTAGGTGCTTTTTCTTAACTACAATGAAATAATACAAAATTACAAATGACAACGATTACTCAAATAGCATTGCAAAAAGCAAGAACACAGCATTGAGCAAAACAATATGGTTTTATTTTAGTTTGTTTGGTTCTCATCTACTGAATACAACCTATAACATAACAAAATCCAAATTATTGTGAAGTTAGCATAATTATAACCATAAAACTGGTTATGTATCATCATGGTTGAGCTTTGAGATTGCAGACGTATGCGTGAGGAGATACTGGATGATCAGAGAGCAATCAAGAATAGTAGTAAAGTAGTTGAACATAAAAATTAATGGCAATTAAGTACAACATGGCTTGAAATCAGTCTCAAAATATTATATTTTTTTAAAAATTTCATTACATTTATTACAATGGCTACCCCACTCTAATGATAAGCATTTGATCTTCCGGTTATAGTTATGTTTATTTCGTGACAATTTGTATTTTAAAATATTATAGGCTGTAAGCAGCAGGTAAGAACTTAACGAAATAAAATGAAATCATGTTATCTCGCTCAATGCTTTGTTCTTTCTATCTTCAATATAATAACAGTTAATTACGAAATTCAATTTCATTTATAATGACTATTTTATCCATGTGCAATTTAAAAATCAATAATAGCGGCCAGATTTCACAACCTTAAAAGGTTTTAAGCTATTACTTGATAAGCTAGGAAGACTATATTTTCAGTGTCGTTACATAAACAGATATTATCAATGAAAAATTACCAGCTAGAAGGTTTAATCAGACAATTTAATCAAGGTTTCTCCAAGTGAACTACAGTAAATACCAATTACCATTTAGATCATGCTCTCTTCTGATGAAAAAAAAACTATATAAATGCCAGCAGATGTACTTTTATCCTTAAAACAACATATAAAAGAACTTGTTTAAAATTTCGAACAGTAATGTACAACCTATTCTGTATTGACGATGTCCCGACCGTAGCTGCTACCTTGACGTGGTGGTCGGGCTTGCCTATCGTGATGATTCAGTCGAACTATATCGGCCGGAACTTATGTTCCTCAAGGTTCTAACATGCCAGACAGGTCGATTGGAGAACGATCAGACTAAAAACAGCTATCCAAGGTCTGAGGGCGAAGTCGTACTGCTGACTGCAGAGGGGTGTGACAGCAGTAAGGTGTTTCCTTCGGACAACCAGCATCTGCAGCGATGCTGCCTTCTCACAAGGAAGGAAGGGTTAGAAAAGGTCGACCCTAAAAATGTCACACCTCACCATACCTCACGGATTTCCGTCTCCTTGGGTAAGGGTGCGGAGCTAATCCTCAAAAACTTCTCATAAAAAGGCCGAGCTTGACCGGCCTCAAGCAGATGTCCGTTGGACTCTGAGGTCACGATCCCAGGTCTCCAAGACCAACACTAATCTATCTTCGTTTTCAGGTCCCTCAAGAAACAACCTTCCACGGTGTGGGCAGCCGGGAAGTGATAACCGCCCTCATACCCGTAACAGCACACGAGACCGAATTGGTCGAAATCAAATCCTTCCTACACCCACACATACCTCTCTTCTCTTCACAACTAACTCGACTCACATTCCCTTATCTGACTGCACCGCTAATGCAAACGATGCGAATTCACGAAACGTCATTCCTGGTCTCTTGAAACCTCGTTCTAGACTATATGTTGGAGCATTTAATATACGGACATTGTGTCAAATAGGGCAACAGGCATCATTAGCTAGGACTTTAGAATCTCGTGTCATCGATGTATGCTGCATCTCGGAAACGCGCATACAGGATCCTAGTAAAATTATTAATCTGATTTCACCTTGTCAAAATAAAGAAGCAGCTCGATTTACCCTTCGTGTATCCGGTAGCCCTGATGCGGCTTCGAGGGGTCTTGCTGGCGTAGGCATAGGATTGAGTCGTAGAGCTGAACAATCTCTCCTTGACTGGATCCCTGTAGATAGTCGTTTGTGCGCCATCTGACTAAACGGGACAGTAAGGACCCGGAAAGATACGGACACCCGTCGTTGCCTCTTCGTCGTATCTGCGCCTATGCCCCCACTGAATGCAGTTCAGACGAGGTTAAAGATGAGTTTTACAGAAAGCTTTCGGACCTCCTCCAAAAAGCTAGGCGCTCCGATGTAGTACTAATGGCTGGTGACTTCAATGATCAAGTAGGTAGACTAAGTGAAAATGAAAGACACTTAGGTGGATGTTATGGTGTCGCGGCTCAGAGAACAGACAATGGTGACCGTCTGTTGCAAGTATGCTCAGACAACCGCCTATTCTTAGCAAACACTAACTTTAGGCATAAGGAAAAGCATCTGTTGACCTGGCGACCCCCGAAGTCGTCTCAACGTTGGACTCAACTAGATCACATTGCCATCAGCCACCGATGGAGGGGTTCGATAGAGGACTGTCGCTCGTTCTGGAGCACATGTTTAGATTCAGATCATGCCCTAGTGCGAGCGCGTATTTGTTTGAAGCTTACTGGGCGTAGGAAAGACACCGTAAGGAAGCCTCTTAGGGTTTTACTTAATGATAATAAGGCGAAGAATATATTTCAAGAACAACTAGAAAGACAGTTAGGCGACCATTTAAGCGATTCCCATCCGGAGGCAGGTTGGAATGATATCAAAAAGGCTGTGGAAACAGCAGTGATATCTGCTAGTAAGGTTGACCATAAGGCTAGAATGAAACCGTGGATCTCAGTAGCATCCACCGATCTGATGGATGCCCGAAAACTCATCCCACCTGGCTCTGAACATGATGAAGAGCGTAGTCAGCTTAGGCGCAGACTTATAAAAAGCATACGTAACGATCGCGAACAGTGGTGGGTGGTGAGAGCAAAAGCGATGGAAAAGGCAGCGGCGATCGGCAACAGTAGACAACTTTTCCGACTTATCAAGGAAACTGGTATTAGGAATCCTAGTGTAAGTGAGACTATCTCAGAAAATGATGGGACTATTATTTATTCTTAATCCAGGAGACTAGATCGATGGGCAGAACACTTTAGGGATCAGTTCAACTGGCCTCGAGCCACTCTTCGGTTACCCACGACCCCAGTCATCCTGAATGGCAAGTCAGTAAGTCCGCTTAGTCTTAATGACGTTGAGAAAGTGTTAGGAAATCTGAAACGAGGACGAGCTGCAGGTCCTGATAGACTGACCCCCGAGATATTTAAGGATGGTCCAGTTTTAGCAGCTAGGTTGACTGAGATCTTAGGTAGAATCTGGGAACTGGACGTAATCCCATCCGACTGGTCTCAATCACTGATTGTCCCAATCTATAAGAAAGGACAGAAGTCCTCTTGTGACAATCACAGAGGAATAAGTCTAACTGATATAGTATCTAAGATATTGGCCTCAATAATACTTCGACGCTTAACAAAAGCTCGTGAAGAGCAAACTCGAGAAAACCAGGCTGATTTCCGAGCTGGACGTGGTTGTATGGACCACATTTTCACACTAAGACAGGTCATGGAACATAGACACACAATTAGGCGTCCTACAATAGCTGTTTTCCTGGACCTAAAAGCGACAATTGACTCTGTTGATCGTGAGGTTCTGTGGCAGTGTCTGTCATTAAAAGATGTACCAAATAAGTACATTAACCTCATACAAGCTCTCTACTCGAACACCACTGGTCGAGTGAGAGCATATGGCGAACTGTCACCGGAACTCTTCACTTCAAGTGGTGTCCGTCAGGGATGTCCACTTTCTCCATTCTTGTTTAATTTTATCATAGACATGCTCCTAGACATAACATTATCCTCGTCTGAATTTTCTGGAGTAGACCTTTTACCAGGTGGCTCGCTCATTGACTTAGAATATGCCGATGACATTGTCCTACTTGATGAAGAAGCTGACAAAATGCAGAGTCTTCTGACCACCCTAAGCAACAATGCAAGCATGTTCGGGATGTGGTTTTCCCCCTCGAAATGCAAAATGTTGCTTCAAGATTGGGTTGCATCGGCACCTGAACTAGTGATAGGGAGTGAAGTAGTCGAACGTGTAGACTGCTTCACTTATCTAGGGAGTCTCATCAGTGCCGATGGGCTGGTGACTGACGAAATCTCAGCTCGGATACACAAGGCTCGATTGGCTTTTGCCAACCTGCATCACTTATGGCGAAGGCGAGATATCCGTTTGCTGACTAAAGGACGAGTGTACTGTGCAGTGGTTCGCTCCATCTTACTTTATGGCTATGAAACATGGCCAGTGAGAGTAGAAGATATTCATAGGTTACTGGTTTTCGATCATAGGTGTCTTCGAAGCATTGCTCATATATCGTGGGACACCCGAGTGAGCAACGCTGTTATTAGGAATCGGGTGCTAGGTAAGAATGGCAGATCAATTGACGCAGTAGTGACACTTCATCAGTTGAGGTGGTTGGGACATGTGATGCGTATGCCCAACCACCGACTGCCTCGTCGAGCTTTGTTTTGTAGTGTAGGAATAGGTTGGAAGAAAGCTAGGGGCGGTCAGACCAAAACATGGCAGAAATCCATGAAGTCATTGACGAGTGGACTTATCCATGTCGGTAATTGTCGACTACCTGGTTGGGGTCCGCGAGATGATAATAATCGATGGTTAGAGACCTTGAATGACATGGCTCAGAATCGTTCGCAATGGCGCCAGTGCATTTATTCTTTGTGTTCTCTCAAATCCTAATCTTCTGGATTCTTCAACACCTCCAGTTTTGACTTTCTAAACTTTTCTCATTAAATCATACTTCTTGAATAATATCTTCTAATCCTAACCTCTCCGATTACTTCTAATACCTTTACTACCTCTTCTACTATTGGATTAGAATTGACAATTACATCTCTGTCCTGATGTGGTATGGCGACATGAACTGATGTACTTACGTACAAAGTTCTACGTTGCATCTGACCGATTGACGACATAAGGGAAAACTAAGTGGTCAGATCACAGGCTACCTTCTTATTTTAAATTTCAGTGACACAAAAATTAATTCAACCAACATAGTAAGGGTAGGTTCAAATGTGTGTTAAAATGGTTAAAGGTCAACAATTAATAGATTTAAAACTGCATTTATATTTGTCAAGCAGTTTGAAGAGAACCACAATAATAAACTAAATATTAAAGGTAACTAAGCCTATTGAAAACATGTAATACTGAATCTGACACTATATAAGGTAACTACATGTCCGTAAAGTAAGCATGAATTCATTTATCAGTCACACCCTACATCGATTGACCTAAATATATATCAATGAGGATTAATCTATTTAAAAATTTGACTTGATGAAGTTGATAATAGAATGGAAAAATTAGTTCTCGACATGCAATTATACCTTTATTAATTTTTGGATAAATCTATAAATAACTCCCTTTGTTTGATGATAAATGTAAAAGTAAGAGCAAAACAAAATAAGCACACAGAAAATAGGTTATAGATTATGACATATACTGCTGGATTGCTTAAAGAAAGCTTGTATTGAACTTGTGACAAAACATTTAATAACAGTGATTAAAACAGTGAACAAAAACTCAACATCAAAAAGTACTAATGTTAAGTATTCAGAAATTTACTCGAAGATGTGTAAAACAGGTATCGTTAGATATAAAATAATTAATGCCTTGAACAATATTAACTATAGTCTTTCAGTAGTTCCGATCAAATTGTAAGCGCATTGGACCACCTCAGTTAGTATTAACATTTTTTACCACATATTTTTACATTAATAATTGTTTTATTCATCCCATTACTTTGTTTATAATCCATAAAAATCAAGGAATGTAGCACAAAGTCAAGTTAGATATATTAGTTGGGTTTGCCTACTTAACTCATCCAAAGTCAATCAGTTTTGATAGATGCTCTGATTAAGTTTAATAAATAATCATTCAGAAGTTTCTCATAATTATCTTAATTCTATGTAGTATGAAGAGTTAAATAAGTTACTTAAGAATACAGATTTATGAATATAAAACTCATGTCTACAATGTAAGTGAAATAGAGACAGTGAAAAGAAAATAGTCTACCATACAGTGTACATGAAAATATCTAGTAACTAAAAAGTTATTATTTAGTTTTGACTTGATAATTTCGAATAAGATGAGCACTTGGTAATAATGAAACACTGATATATCTGTGATATTCTAATGAACAGAAATCGCAGACTGCTGCTCGTTCTGAAGCACTTGTCTAGATTCAGATCATGCTCTAGCGCAAGCGCGTATTTGTTTGCGACTTATTGGACGTAGGAAAGATGCAGCGAGCAGACCTCTTTGCGTTCTACTTAATGATAGCACAGCCAAAAATATATTTCAGGAGCAACTAGAAGAACAGTCAGGAAACCATGTAATAAGTGATGCCCACCCTAGGACAGCTTAAAATGATATCCAGAAAGCTGTAGAAACAGCAGTGGTATCTGCTAGCAAGGTAAACCAGAGTTAGAGAGAAGCGGTGGATTTCAGTAGCAGCTACCGAACTGACGGATGCATGGAAAGTCAGCCCGTTTGGCTTTGAGTACGGTGAGGAGCGGAGTCAGCTTGGGTGAAGTCTGACAAAAGGTCTACGCAATGGACGCGAACAGTGATGCTCGAATATCTTGGGACAACCGAGTAAGCAATGCTGTCGTTAGGAAACGAGTACTAGGTAAGGTTGGCAGTTCAATAGATGAAGTATAGAAACTTCATCAGTTGAGGTGGTTGGAAAATGTGTTACGAACTCCCGTCCACCGACTGCCTCGTCGAGCTTTGTTTTGTGGTGTAGGAGTAGGTTGGAAGAAAGGTAGGGGTGGCCAAACCGAAACATGGCACAAATCCATGAAGTCACTGACAACTGGATTGAGTCATGTCGGTAAGTGTGAACTAGCTGATTGAGGTGCACAAGATGATAGTAATCGATAGTTAGAGACCTTGAATGACATGGCTGAAAACCGTTTGTAATGGAGCAGATGCATCCACTCTTTGCGTTCTCTCAAATCCTAATCTTCTGAATTCCTCATGACCGTTTTTTCTCATATTTTAACTGATTCTCCTGAGGTATACACCTCCAATGATATATTCAATCATTAATCTTTTTGATTACTGCTTATAATTCTACTATCTCTACCACTATGGGTCTCCGTGTTGATGTGGTATTGGCAACTTTACCTGATGTACGTACGTACGAAGTTCTGAGTTGTAACTGACTAACTAAAAGATATTGAAAACAAAGTATAGCCTAAAATTTAGCAGAAAATCAATTTCTATTCACACTAATGATTGTGAAATATTATTCATGAAATAATTAAGAAATAGTTAAACTGCCAAAACGATACTAATACTGAATATCTGAAATTTTATTTTTAAAAAGTATCAGTCGATGTAACTAATAATTAGATGAATCAGTATGAAAAAAAAGTATATTAAACTTACAGATCCTAATTCAAGTTTAGTTTTTGTAAAATACACCATCCATATAGGTTCAGTTGGTTGAATTTTACTATTTACTGACGATGGATGAATGCTTACCCTACCCTCAGATGGACAAGCCATAATGACTGGTGGCTTAGGTTTCCCTTCTTTACTAAATTATCATCACAAAGAAAATAAAAATGAGTACAAAATATTAGCAAAATCTACACATAAAAAGAAATAGATTCAAAAGTATGAGGGTTAAGAAAACATTTTACCAATGAACTGCATTGTAAACATGATTATTTCATATACTATTAAGATTAATAATGGGATGAAAGTAAAAATAACATGTTGAATATTTACAATTATTACAACACTGTAACAGCATATTGTTTATTAAATATTACATTGTTTCTACTTTTTTAAAGGCAAGATAATATATACCGAACAAAGGGATAAACTTGTTAAAGAGACATAGGGGAAGATGAAGTAAGCTTGTTTAAATTGTTAAGTATGATAAAATGTAGATATACAATTGTTTAATAACTGAGCGACAAGTAAAGAATTCATGATACTTCTTCTAATCTCAACTATTGAAACTATGTAGCAAGGTGATTATTCTACATTTTGTGATAAATGAATAATTCACCTTATTAACCTTGAACCTTTAAATGAAGCTTCTTCTTGCTCTGAGTTTTCTGTACACACACCAATTGTGCATAAACAGAGAAACATACATTTATCGAGATTATTTTTGGAAGAACATGAAGAAAAGATAAATAAACAAACAGAATAATAGCAAAGAGTTGAGTCATATTTCTCAGAAAACAAGGCATCGTTATTACCAAAATAACTAATCTAGGAGTTTGAAGATTCACAAGACGTTTCGTATCAGTAAACATCGAGTCAGGTATTTCAGCATATTGAAATCTTTATATAGTGAACATAGACAAAGATGAATGAATGACAGGATTCAAGACCGAGTGTTTAAATTATGAAAGGAGAAGAAATTAAACTAGTGATATAACAACTGAAAGTGTATTACCTAAACCAGAGGCTAACAGCTTGTTTACGGAGAATCAAATATTAATCATAACCATAGTACTGGTTATTTAATCTTAAAGTCAGTTACTTATACACAACTTAAAAATGTAGATCACAGTTATAACCAATTGAATACTACTCTTTTATATTTTGACTAAAAACTGAATATTAAGGGAGACTGCTCTACACTCTGCCAGTTAGTTGATAATATCAAGTAATTATACCTTGTACTAACTTAAAAAGGCCGATAATGAATGGAATGAAGTAAAATACGTACAAAGAGATTAGAAAATAAGGTTGTTAATCAAGGATTTCTGTTGATTGCATGCATATTGACTGTTACCACATAAATTAAGTGTAATTTAACTTTAGACTATTGTATTCAAATTAAGAAGAGTATAGTATGAATTTTTAACTATATATCTAGTAAATTCATTACACTAGTCTAAGACTGTGTATTAAGAGAATTAAACATTTGTAAACTGACATGAAATAGCACTGAAGAATAATATTGAAACTTACGTAAATCTTGGATCTGCTTTAACTATATTTGGATATAACGCTGCGCACATAATCGCTCGGAAAAGATTGATATTCCCTGTTTTATAAAAAACAATTAAAACGATGGTAATCATGTAGCTCATTATTAGGAATTTAAAAGAAGACAAAAGATGTTACTACATGATATTTAGATCATGATATATTTCTATTTTTTGATTTGCTATGAGTTAAATATTTCGTGACAGAAAATGAAGGCTAACAAAAGAATAAGACATCGCACAAGGAAGAAAAATTTAAAAGCTTTTGTGAATTAGGGTTTCAGTGATTTGATGAGCGAATCGCTAACAGATCAATGATAAAAAGTGATTGAATAACAGCTATTAGAGACTGAACAATTAATAGAAAGCTAAACTATTAGCCCAAAGAATAGATATTCTCTGTTACAGAACAAAAAACTTGCATACAACATATTAACATGAGAAGTTGTCATAGGTAATTGAAAAGAATTAGTTAGTAGGCCCCTCAATCTCCAATAGATAAAGATGTAGCTCTTAGGCCTACTTTTTTCTATCATATGGAATAGCTGACGAGATGGTGTAGAATCCTTCTGTGATAACACCGCCAAAAAGAAAGTTACTTTTACCATGCTTTGAAAATCATATTTTTATCCCTTTCACCAGTTGCAATTATCTCACTGGTATGAAGTGAAAAATGCACATTTATAGGAGCACTTTGATGAAACTGTAGGTCAAAGAATTATCAGTTAATTGACAAAACCACTTGAAATAAAAATAATCTGTAGTACTAATACAATAGGTGTTTTCTCAGAACCGAATGTGCAAAACTGAAACAAATATTTTTTTAGTATATATTAAAAGTGTAAACACTTAAAACATATTCTTTCAAATGCTTTTAGTAGTCACTATTTTGTTTTAAATTTTTAAACTTTTCAACCAATACATTGTTGTAAATATTTTTTTCATTCATCTTATATATAAAGTACTTGGTTTCTAATAAACTTTCGTTCTATTTTTTTCAAAAATAGATAAAAACGGAAAATGCGCCTAGAACTGTAATATTATTAAGTGTTCTAGTATTTATAGCACGTGAGTGAATATAGTTGGCATTCATTATAACTCAGTTTAAATAAGCTAATAACGTTAAGCTAGTTGCAATAGTTACACATTGAAATAAATGATGAAAATATTTGAGAGAAAAATGGAACTCCAGCACATTAACTATTCAGCTATTGTCCATATTTTGACTACCCCGAATCATGAAAATATTTTCATACATATTTGTGCATCTATTTACTGAAATCACGAGAATCTAAAGTATACCATTTAAGAACATCAACACTTTACAGGGATTTTCAGTAAGCAGCTACATTTGTACTAGTTATTCAGGCCAGAGGAATGAGTTTAAAAGCTTAAGTTTCATCCTACATAAAACTCGTTAATGATGTTCATACAGGTACTCCAAGTTGGTATCTATCGACTGAGGTATTGAGTTTACATAGCCACTCACTTGTGCAAAGGGTATGGAAGCTGTATTATTGTTAGAAAGGATTAAAATTATCTCGTATTAACTATTTTGACCTATGCTGTGTAGACTGTCATGAGCACAGTTGAAGCAGACAGTTACCATTACATGTTCGATGAGCCGTGAAACTATAAAACTCATCTAGTTGCCTTTTGTCTCGTTTAGTATACCTACTTGAGTATTAAAATCACCAGATACCAATACTACATTAGAACGTTTAGCTTTCTGAAGTATGTTGGAAAGCTTTGCGTTACATTTATCTTTTACCTCATCTGAACTGCAATCAGTGGGAAAGTAAGCACAGACAATGAATAGGCAACGGTGAGCGTCTCTATCTTTGAGAGTTTTACTGTTTCATTCGGTCGGACAGTCCAGCAGAAACTGTCTACTGGAATTCAGTCTACGGGAGCTAGTTCTGCTTAAGAACTCAATGCTATACCTACAACAACGAGGCCACGAGAAATAGCAGTAGGGATTTCAGATACACGTAGAGTAGATGACGACGGCTCTTTATATTTGTATGGTGAGATCGGATGAATGACTGTACTAGGAACCTGTATGTGCGTTTCGGAGACGCAGCAGATATTGATGGCGCGAGATTCTAAAGTATTAGCTAAGGAAGCCTGTTGTCCTATTAGGCACTGGGTCCGAACACTAAAAGCTCCACCATGTAGTTTTGAGCGTGGTTTCAGAAGACTAGGAAAAGCATTTCGTGTACTTAAGTCATCAGCATTAATATCACGAGGTTATGAAGGCGTACGAGAAGAGTTAATTGTAGGAATAAAATGGTTGTTAAGAGGTAAGGGAATGACTTAGTCGTGAAAAAGTTGAGCTCGTTTGCTGTTAGGGATGGAGAAGTATTTTTCGGAGGACTCGAATAGGAAGCTGGGTTAGCGTTGGTCTTAGTGGTCTGGGAATGTGACCGCAAAACCTGAAGGACAAAAATAAGAGGCCGGTCACGCAAGGCTTTTTTATGGAAAGTTTTTGAAGTGTCAGCTTCGGTCTTGAAATGGTCTTACCGCCGGAGACCGAATTCCGTGGTGTAAGGTGAGGTGTGACATATTTAGGGTCAATCATTTCTAACTCCTTTCATCTGTTTTAAGACAGAGATATTGCTGCAAGTGCCGATCGGCAGAAGGAAACACTTTACTGCTGTCACTACTCTTAACAGTCAGCAGTACGATTGCATCCTATAACCGTAAAGTTGCTGCTTTCAGTCTTAGTGTCTTTTGACCGACCAGTTTAATGTGGTAGGACCCAAATGAAAATGTATCTAGTTAATATATTTCAGTTGAGTCACTATGATAAACAAACCCGATCATCACGTTAATGCAGCAGTTACTGTCGGTCTCTATTCCGTTACAAACCCATGAAGTCACTGGCAACTGTACTGATTTATGTTGGTAAGTGTAGACTACCTGGTTGGGGTCCAGTAGACGATAGTAACCGATGGTTAGAGACCTTGAATGATATGGCTCAAAATCGTTTGCAGTGGCGCAGGAGCATCCACTCTTTGTCTACTCTGAGATTCTAATCATCTGAATGTCTCATGACTTCTATCTTTCTCTTTCTAAATTTATCTCACTGAATTATACTTCTTGAATAATATCTTCGAATGCTAATCTTCTCCATTACGTCTAATAATTTTTCTGCCTCTACTACTATGGGATCTGAACTGACAATTGAGTCTCTGTGCTAATATGGAATGGCAACCTGAGCTTATTTACGTAAGCACGAAGTTTTAAGTTGTAACTGACTGACTGACTATTGCGTTACGACACCACAGAGTAGTTGAGTCAGTATGTCCACGTAAAAAATCTTTATTCTGAATGTTCTACAATAAAAAAATTTCTAGAAAGAGAAACAACTTACATTGATTACAGTTTGCATTCGGATCATTAGGTTTTGGAGTAGCAATGTATCTTCGTTCATATAATAATTGTGCATAATCATTCATAAGTTGAATAATGTCCTATGAAAAATTAGAATATAAGATGAGTCAAAAAATACAAAATACTGCCTTGATCGATGCACACGTATGACTACAAAACAGTGACACAAACGCGATTTACATTTATCAAAAAATGTTACACACATATATGTATGTACTTATGAAGTGAGATCACATGAAGCATAGCACGAAAGGTAGCATGAAAAAAAATAAATAATTTTCAGAGACAGAGAAGCATAAAATCAATTCACCAGAGAAGAATGAGCGTCGATTATATTTTATTGAATATATATTTTAATTTCTCGTAAATAGCAAGGTAGATGATAAGCGAATTAGTTTCACAGATCAAAAACGTTTACTGACAAAAATAATCAGAATAATAATCTTAATTTGTTACGGTGTGACATAACTGGTGGTTGTTTGCATGGTGTAAGCCATTATGTTCAAACAGCTGGTTTTAAGTTACCAATTAATTTAGTGTATAACGCTCTAGTTGACGAAAATCAAAAATAAAGTAGTGTGTTAGTAAGGAGACTAAACGCTATTTCACTTCTGTATTCCCTACATCGAAAATTACTGGTATTTTAATTAAAAGTAATTGACTTAAATGTGTAAAAACAAACTTTGAGTTTAGTCCATCGCTACTAATAAAAAGCAATGATTTCAGTTTGTGTTTTGTTAAAAACTAATTAAGAGGAATTCTTAAAAAAGTGTAGAGAGAACTGCGCAAGGCTAAAGTGATTGGATTCTGAGACTAGTTATCGCGACTCAACAATAAAATGGAAAACATTGGCATTTAAAGTAATAGATACTTGATTATAAGCCTATCAGGAATATCAACATTTAATATATATTACCGTTATATGAGTGGAAAATGTGCTTCCTACATAATTTTCGAACTAGAACACTTCAAACAATGTAACATGACATATCTGTTCACTGCATTAACCATTTCTATTTGTATCAAGCTGACCATGCCTGAAATAAGGATGAATTCTGTAATTAAATTATTTTCATTATTACTATTAATAGACAAAATAAAAACTAATTAATTTGGTGCTTGTGCAGCAATTGTAAAGCTCACATAAACATATAGAATGGATGTTGTCCATAATGAGAATGGATGGTTTAAAATCAAATATTCAAGTTGATAGAACGCAAAACCGAAAATTTTGATTCCAAATATTTTACTTTAAGATTCCGGTAGGCAGCTTTAAGATGATTCGAAGTCAATGATTTGGATTTCCTTCGAAGTAATTTGTGTAAATTAATCACTCAATTATTTACTACCGCCATAATTGTTCATGACGTTAATGAATGATTTAAAGATGAGATCACAAAAGAAAGTTGTTATGTTCGTCACTAGGTTTGCTTGAAGCTATTACGAGTTCACCTTAGTCGATAAAAGCGAACGAGACAATTACCAGCGTCCAGATATGCTACCTTGAATCCCAAGCTGTAAACAGAAGTCTTTGTAAGCGTAGAAAGTATATTCTACAAACATTCATCCATCACAATACAATCAATCACACAACTCTCGTTTATTTATACATCAAAGAAACGTCCTTGGGACAGTTACGAAAATAGCACACTAAAATACACAGAAGCCAATCACAGCCATGGATTTTCCTGGTGGGAAATGAAATCTCAGGGCCAACTGATCAGCCCACGCTCGCAAACGTGAAATCGAAAATAAGGCATTTATCAAGCGAGTTCTGGGGATCTAACATTCCCAACAAAAGTACATGATAATCAGTACTGTAATGTTACACTTTTATATAAATAACTAGGCAAAATTATTCAATAACCGAACAAAGTTTCAAGTGTTGGTTGATTTTACTAAAATGTTTCGGTGATTTCATACTTGACGTGTGTATTCATTCAGAAAGATAATCAGAATTTATGGTGGATTATTTGTCCTATCTATTGTTGTTTTTTTTAAAAGGAAGGAGAGAAATGAAAAAAGGAATCCTAAAACTACTTTTACTTTTATTTTTAAACTTTAACAAAAATTAAGTGTTTAAATAACTGATCAATTCATACTCCTTAATTACAGAGTAACCAGTCTACTATAGTGGTTTTATTAGCTCGAAAATATACTAATCGAATCCTAATAAGTTCTGTGTAATGTCAATAGTAAATCTTTACAAAATACAACTGGATGAGAATGATGATTTATAGGTTAGTATTATTCATACAATAATAACATAAGCTATCAGGTGTTACATAAGCATAAAACCGCTGTAGACTGGTTACATATTTAAAAATTATAATGAAAATCCTATTTCTAACATGATTCTGTTTATGCAAGGGCTTGATTGTGACGAAATTGTAAGATTTACATATGCTACATTTTCTACTTAGCCAACTGGAATGTAATTTGTTTTAAATATTAATCATAACATGCAAAACAAACGACCAATGGTAAAGATGTCTTGAAATGAAGTCAAAAATTTATCGTACGACAATCAATTGACTGGTAAATGAACCTACCATATTTAGAAAGATTTAAAAGTATGTGTATCGACAAAGCAATGTAAGTGCAAAGAATTCGTTTATTTGAATTATCTGAAGTAGCTATGAGTAAGTAAAAATATGGTGTGGATATGATTAATTATACCGTTCACTAATCACAAGCAAATATAGAGCATAATAGTTTTCTTTGTGACAATTGATGTTCACAGAATGTCTTTTGGATGTACAAAATCGTGATTACCTTGAGGATATTTGAATGTTAAAGTTCTCGAAGTATTGCCTACTTGTGGTTAAAAGTGACCAAAAGTGATATGATTATAATATTATGCAAAGGAAGATTGTGATATTTATGATGCATGCTGAGATAACCACCACTTTAAAACAATAGACCCATAAAGATAGTCTGAATTGAGACAATGGATATGAGTGGTCGAAACAAGATATGAAATTATCGTATGACGTTACAGACTATTTGGATAAGGTTTGCGAGACTTCTAGCCCCCAAATACCTTGGTATGCACGAGAGTGGAACCAGTCAGTAAGTAAATTACATCGTAGAACTTCGTACGTACGTACATCGGTTCAGGTTACTATACCACATTAGCACAGAGACGCAATAGTCAGTTCAAATCGCATAGCGGTAAAGATAGTAAAAGTATTGTCAGTATTCGAAAAGATGAATGATCAAATATATTCTTAGAGACGTATATCACAGTGAAACAAATTTAAAAAGAGAAATAAACGATCACGTGGAATTCAAAAGATTAGAATTTCAGCGAAGACAAAGAGTGGATGCACCTAGGCAATTGCAAACGGTTTTGACGTACCATCCTTACACAGTACTCCATTCCCAACAAAAGCATTGCTTATTCGACAGTCCCAGGATACACGAGCAATCCTTCGGAGACACATATGATCGAATACTAATAACCTACGAATTTCCTCAACTCTTACTGGCCATGTTTCACAGTCATATAGTAGGACGGAGCGAACTGCTGCGCAGTACACTCTTCCTTCGTTCAGCGAACGGATAACTCACCAACGCCGAAAGGTAGCGAAAGCCAATTGAACCTTTTGTATCCGCTGAGATTTCGTCAAAAATCAGGCAATCTGCAGTGACGAGTCTCCCCAGATAAGTGAAGCGGTTACAGAACCGCACAATCGATAGAGTCAATGCCGCCTTAAAGTCAACGAATACAACTATAGTATGTGTCTATGTTCTAGGACCTATCCGAGTGTGAATATGTGATCTATACAACCACGTCCAGATCTGAAATTAGTCTTGTTTTCCCAAGTTTGTTCTTAGAGAGCTTTAGTTAGGCGTAGAAGTATTATCGAAGCTAACATTTTAGACACCATATTAGTTAGACTGATTCCTCTGCGATTGTTACAACAGGACTTTTGAATTTTATTATAAACTGGGACGGTAAGGGATTGAGATCAGTTAGATGGGATTACGTCCAGTATCCAAATTCTGCTTAAGATCTCAGACAATTTAATTGCTAAAACCAAACCACTATCCTTAAAAATCTGAGGAGTAATCCTGTTTGATCCTGCTGCGCCCCTTCGTCTCAGATTTATCAGAGCCTTTTGTGAGAATTTTCATTAAATTCTGTCGTTACTTGGTTATGATATAACTGCCCTGGCACGGCTGAGAATGAGGAGAGTCTTCTGCACCTACTTACATTGTTCAACTGCCTTGTGGATTAGACCTCTAGGACAAACGCTCGGGAGGTGAAACCTTAGGAGAACCATCTGCTTTAGTTCAGGTACTCCATCATTATCTCACCACACACACACAAATTTTTTGATTTGTGTGGAGCATGTATGCATTTGCGTGCTCTTTTTTACTGACGTTTTGCGTTTAAGTAGAACCAATATTACGTTAAAGCATTTGCTATTCAGCTGGATTGACATTTAGTAACATCGATGAATTTTCTTTTCGTTCCTTTTCCAAACAATAAATGTTTATCAATACAGTTTATTCTTCTGCTTTTACGTATTTATCTAAAATAATGCATTTTTATCAGGTAGTCTATATTTTTCGTCATTTGCATATATGACATATGTGGGGCAGTAAATGAGATGTTTCTTCACTTAATTGTGATTCATTTCGAACTGAGCTTAAAAAAGTATAGCTATTGGAAAATGTGTATTAATTAGTTAATCTAATTGCAAAAAAAACAAAATTTTGTAATGTTACCCATAGAGAAGAGAATCGATCAAACTACCTTGATAGTACGTTCATTAAGAAAATATTTTTGACAAAATTGACGACGTTCAGTTTGTGAAGTGAGTCCACGATAGTGCTAAAAATGTTTATGCAAATAAGATAACGTAAAATAAATGAGTATACATACTTTATTGTCATTATTAAACACAGAATAGTTTTTAAAATAATATTATAACATTTGAATATAATTTTTACATTATTTTTGATATAAAAATAAAGACTTTAAGAAAGTAAAACATTTTATAAATCAAACTTATTAGTTTGATAGAGATATAAAAATCAGGATGTAATTCAATCATATACATATAGTTTCTTGTAATAATATTTAAATATGATATATGTGTCTGCAGTATTAATATTTTGATTGAGTGTTTTGAACTGATTTACCATTTTATCACTGTGTAATCACAGCAACTTTCAATCAAATTTAACTGCAACCAATTTTCCAATCTATATTTTCAAATATCACGGGCTATAAAAGTTGATGACAATTCAAAGATGCATATAAATATATCATTTAGTTAATAAGGCATTTTTGTTGTTATGATAAAAGGAGCTGAATATTAGATAACTAACCATTACAGATTTACTGGTTTATACTGCTTGAATGGGTGATATAGTAACTTTAAATCAAAAACAGTAAATATAACTCATGCCTCCGTTGCTTAATAAAATGAATCTTTATTTAACTAAGCTTCAAATCTAGAAATCAAGAGGTACAATTTAAAATAAATTTTTAAATGACCTTGTTGCATCATTTTCGATACATAAGTTACACAAAACTAGAATGCTGTCTAGTTTACGTTTTTTGTGTATAATCAAGAAGTTCACCAAGAACCTCAAGAATAATTGTCTTCAATTTGAGACATGAATATGTATCAGCCCGTGAAATGGGCTTGAAATTTATTGCCTGACATTAGACAAGTGATTTAATGTCCAAAAGTGCCATTATTAAAGAGAAATACAGGACTTATATACTTATTTAATTGAAAAAGTATATATAATTATGTTAATATGTTTAGGTACAATGAAATATGGTTGATTATTAAGAACCATAACAAACTATCAATAGAGAGGAAATCGTACTACCTGAATGCTTTTTGAATTAAGGGGAGGACCTTAGTTAACTACAAGCTGCATTATAAATAATTGCTATAGAAAATTATTCATTGATTGTTAGTATTTGTACTTGTTTTGATAATGTCTCTACATGAAATATGCTTAATTAGCAGGAACTCTAGAAATTAACTCTGTGTAAGTTTGTAATTTGGTAGATAATTCATCAGAAGAAATTTTATAAAAAGATAATATCTTACTTGAATAACTGTAGCAAATACCCAATGATCACTAAAGGAATTCTGAGCCAATTCAATTCGACATCGATCAGCCTCTTGTTGTTTCTCTAAAGGTATTTCAAATGGATCACGAAATGTCAAACACGAAGCAACAGCTAAAATTGGTTCTAAGCAACCAAATAATGCACCGAAAATTAAGAGTTTAGCACATTGTGGATCAAGTGGGAAATTCGCTAAATGTACACCAAGAGGAGTTAATTCATCGTCATCTTCATCGGTTGAATCGAATTGAATACTATTAGAATTCAAAATATCTACACCACTAGCATTTACATCGTTTTTAATAGCATTTGAAAATTCTCGAAGAGATTTACGATTAACTTTATATGTTTTTTCATGATATTTTATTGATTGAGAAGTATCCGAATTCAATGTTTCTGATTTGATTAATTTTAGAGCTTGAATTTTTCTAAGAAATGTTAAAGTTTGTGAAATAGCATCTTCAGAAGGAGAATCCAGACAACTAGTTAAGAAAGATTTTACACGACCAAGACCTAACAACTAAACAAGGAAACATGACACATATAAACTAATTCAAGAAATATACAGAATAAACAAATTCAATTTTAGACATAATAAACGCTGAGAAAGTTACAATTAGTCCAGATAATTTAATTGAATTACTGTATAAATTAATTCTTATCTCTGATAATAGTACAAGTAAGTCTAAAAACCATCTAAACCATATTATGGTTTTTCAACATTTATTCACAGATCTTTTTTCAGCTTCATCGTATTCTCATACAGAATGCTCATTTAATATGATAGATCACTAGAAAACATTCTAAGCTATTTTATTCAATAGCGGTGACCATTTTTTACAAATACTAGAAGTAACAATCCCTCTTCCTAAAGATTAACATTTGTAGTCTAATTATAATTACAAAATACTGAGCATTTATTATTATTATCAACAAAAATTTAGCATCATTTGCGAAATAATCTGTGGTTGGAGGAAGCTGACAAGAAACTCAAGATCTCAGTTTCGAATCGACTGGTACTCATCAAGGGTGGGAGTTAAGGTATTAATCTCACAAGGAGCGTTAGTTTCCCGAGAATACAAGTAAGTAATGAAGCAAATACATAGTGGTAGCAACAGTTTTATTGATGAATTAAGAATAACATCAAGGTTGTCAATCATTCATTGTTTTATGCGGTTGTCATTTTTCGATCGATATTGATATGAACGTCCTAAGAATAGACACAATACATGTCATCATTATGGTTGATTAATAGCTAATGGCGTTTATGTTAGATTCTATGGATTAATGAATCGAGTGAGAAGTACATTTCAATTTTTATTGGATAGAATAATTTTCCTTTTATTCAACTATAAATCAAGCTGATCAATGTAATCAGTCGAACTAGCGAAGTTAGATTGACTTAAATATTAATTAAATCTCTTTAAAATGAAGATACTAACAAAGAGTTTAACAAGTCGATTCACTACATTAATAAGTTTTATGTTTAAAAAAACACTTGTATGTGAGAGATGAAGGATATTTATCAAACAACAGTTACTTATATGTAAGGCTTTCCTGTTCTCGATATTAAAGACTGGATTTGATTAGTCTATTGATATACGTTCATTCTAAATGGATTACTGCAATATTTTCACGAAGTCAATAATAAGTAAATAAAATCACTACTAATACACTTATACCCGTTAAATACGTTAGCGGCTATCTTAGGTTAGTTGCTTAGTAGACGTATGATGTCCAAGTCTCAGCGTAAACATCATAATTAAGAAGCACAAGTATCCAGCTGAAGGGCCCGAAATAAAACGAAACGGACATCCTGGATTTCCCTCATGTGCATCACAGGAGTAAGTGATTGGTATACAAGTACGTAAAATGAATCATTTACAAAATATTAATATAAAAAAATATACAAAGTAGCTATGATTACTTTGATTCTCAAAATTACATCTTCCAAACGAACACGTAACATTTCTGGTTGTAGAAATTCTGACATAACGTTATTATACACGTAACTTGGGAATAAATGATAACAGATTCCGGGTTGTACACTTGGCATAATTTAAGGAAAATGAAGAAATAAAGAAAAATAATCAATAATATTACAACGCAGATTTTAAGTGAATACATTAATAACCGTATTTTCATCTTTAAATATAATCAAAGAATTGAATGCATTCATCAATAAGTATTATAATAAACGCATGACCGTGTCTACTTGAAGTAACTAAAGCAAGATTCTCAGATAATTAAGAATATGAAGCATGGTACGTTAGTTTTGTTATGCTGTTAGAAATAACGATATGAAAGAATCGATAACTAGTAAGTTTGCAGCTACGTTCTATACTTTGAAATTAAGAGGTCGAGACATACTTTTTTCATATCAAATAATAAATTATCTGTGCTTTTTCTGTTCTTGTGACTTTTTTATTTGGTTTATTGACAGACTTTAATCAAGCTTAGGAAGAAAATTATTAAACTAACAACGAAAAATCCAATCGAAACACGTATATACGTGAACTTGTATGATAATAAAGAATGTTAAGAAATAAAGGAATATAATCTAAACTGAGAAGGATAAAAGAGAGGAAATGTAAATAAATCAGAGCAGAAAATGGGTTGGACGATCACTGGTTAAGTACCTTATTTGGATTGGTTTGGATTCGATTGGAGTACCACAAATATGTTGAGTCTTTATCCGTCTTTAAATCAAGATAATTGTATTTATGATAACAAATAACTTTGCATCTGCTTACTTAGAACACAAAATTGATAAACATTATGCATACTTTAGTACTTTGCTTACTAAAAGACATCATAGTTGGTAATTGACAATTGAATTATTAGACAAGGTAGATGAGGTTAAAATGAAGGCATCTGCACGAATTAGGTCAGTAAACAAAGAAAATTAAGAAATTCAATTCAAAATAATATGCGTTATCACGTTGTTGATATTTTGACTGAAATTCGATGTTTTGGTAAGTACATGGACATCCTGTGAGGATCGTTTTAATAGATTGACACTATTTGATATTGAATAGATGGAATGAGGCAAGCAGTGAAATTCAGGACACGCGATGATGTTTAAAGCAAATAGTATTGAGTTTGAGTCCCGGAAGGAGCAACAACTGGTGAATGCTGGTATGTCCAACTGACGAGACTTAATTATGACGAAATAAGCGTCCTGAATTTCACTGTTAGCCACCTTTTATCTATTCTATATACAAAAATTTAGGTTAATTTTCACTTCAAAGTCGCATATTAGTATAAAATTATCTGAAATAAATAATTAAATATGTGTATGAAGTTCATTTTAAATCATGGTCACAGTAGTTTAAGGTTACATTATTTTTACTGTGTGCAATACAATATGAAATGCAATGATAACCTATCACGTTAATAAGTGAATTATTTTATTGATAAGCTATACGTTTATAAGAAGGATGAGCAATAAATGATTGTATATAGAAAAAGTTTTAGAATTGTATGAAACGGATTACTTTAATTGTTTAAAACGTTTGTTTTTAAATTGACAGATATTGACAGCCATGCAGTTTTTAAGATGTCTGTCACGTTTCGATACAGAAAGGAAATTCATCTTATTTAATGTTACGTAGGTCAATTACAGCAGATTTCCTGAATATCTTTGTGACCTCATGTACGGTGAGTTAGTCAGAATCACACGTCGAAAGTCGAGATAGTTTCTCTGGTGAACATGTACACATCATATCAATCTAAAGCCTAATTTATCTCTGTACTTAGGATTAGAAAAACATAGTGAGAAAATAGTAATAGATATGAAAAATGATCAGTTCAACATTGTCGAAAGTAGCATTCTCAAAAGAAGAGTACTAGCGTTTAACTACTCTGTAAAGAATAAATGAAGCTAAATGTTCTTCCGCCAGAAATATTCTTAAGTAACATAACAGTTAAGTTTTGAGACTCATGGAAAAAAGTGCAAGCTCTTATTATCCCACTGACCGATTTTAGCAACTGACAAACATATTTTGCAAGTTTATTACTAACAAAATGTAGGAATACCTTAAGACACTTTGCATGGTATTCAACAGAACGGAAAATTGTTCAGTGATTTGATATTTGATCGAAAATATTTTAAATTCAGAGTAGTTACGTTACATTTTTACTAGACTCATGAAAAAATTATCATTCATGAAGTATGGATCAAGAGCAGCTTTCTTCTTGTATACCCCCTTCATAACTTAGAGTTTTGTTGGAACACTTAATAAAATCAACTATAATTATCAAATTTGGCTACTAAATTTATAAATGATTATTGGGAGACATCAGTTTATGTAAAATAATTATGTTATTATTATTTGAACATAGTTTGTAACTAATACATTGTATGACCCTAGTAATTGTTGCTTTGACATTACAAAGTAATTCAGCATAAAATAATAAGCAGCATATGATCAACAATGAAACTTTCTTATTGAAATAGTTATTTGCAATTTTATCTAAAGAAAGCTTACCGACCAGCTCTTCCAGAACGTTGAGCTGCATTGGCTTTGCTGACAAGAACTGAAGTCAAAGTTGATGTATTTTGTCTTGGGTCATAATCTGTCACTTTGATACGACCACAATCAATCACATAAACTACATCTTGAATGGTTATACTACAGGGGAAAAAAAGTTAGTTACTTTCATAAAGCAGATTATTCAAATTATACAAAAGTAAAGAATATTACATTTTTACATAACAAATGAGTTAAGATTAATTTAGAAATAGATAATTACCATATATCATATTTTTACTATATTTTCATTGTTATTGGTTGATCAAGGTTTACAAGTTGTTTCACAATGAACTTGTGAACTTATCAACAATCAATAATAAAAATGACAGAATCTAATGGAATATAATCTTAACTGAAATTCTAAGAAAATTAATTAATCAATTGACTAGAACTTTTCATGTCCGTATATAAAATATTATTTCAGTTCTAAACTGACAAGTTTGAAGGTAGACACCAAGAGAATGAACAACTGAAAAGGAGAGACCAGGATAAGGTTATTTAGAGAATCCTAGTCGGTTGGCTATGCTTCGTCAAGGGTAACAGGCATGAGTAAGCCTAAACCGACATTGAACACTGCTTATTTTTTTAAACAACATATTCAATCAATAAATAGTCAAGGTTATGTCTAAATTTAATTTCTCAACAGTTTTGTGTGATAATCAATAGTGGTAGAAGGCTCAAGAGTATGTGATTAAACGTCACCACATATTGTAATAACATGAGCGACAAGCAGAGCTGACGCTGCTTAACCATATCATATAATGTACAAATTAGCTTCATAACGAACAGATAATCTGAGTTTGCCAAAACTATATGAACTTCTTATGTTTTTCAAATACTTGATTTAAAACAAATATTGCTTTTGAAAAAAAATTTCGTCAGTGTGACGGGACAACAGAGTTTATTCTAAAAATGTGTAATTTATTTATGCTATAAATTTTCAGTAATCCGATCACACAAAGACCTATTTAATAGTTAGTAACTGAAAAATGTATTACATCTTTATTTCGTTTCGAATCGTAAGAATCACAATTCAATCATAATTTTGACATTTTATATTAATTTATACATTTTGTCAGATTGTTGTTAGATCTTTATTTGACAACATATTATTGGTAAACTAGGTAGAATTATTGTAATGGATAGCAGTTTGTGGTAGTCATTTATTGAAATATGTGTCATGTATATTTTAACCTTATTTTATACACGTATTATAATTGATTTATGACTGTGAAATTTTATCAGTGGTGAATAGTTTTTGGCGTTCTTTAAAAAAAAATAATATAAAGAGTAGTGAGAAATCTTTACTAACCTTGTTTCAGCAATATTAGTTGCTATAATCACTTTTCTCTGACCTTGCGGCGGGGGTTCGAACAGAGAGCGATCTCTATACGCAGGGATTCTTGAATGTAATGGATAAATCCTGACACTTCCATAACGATCATCATATCTCTTTGGATTTAATTCACGTAAAGATCTAATTGCATCTTTAATATTCTAATAAGTGACAAAAATAATCAAGGTGAACAGAGGAACTCCAAGTTGCCAAAAAATGGATGCATATTTGAAATTAGTAGAAATAACATGTTTTGATATTTAATGATGACAAATTTAACGCAACCCTGTTAAATTAGTACCATATCGTATGATACCATTCGCATGAAAATTAAAGTGGCCTGTTTTTCAATGCATTTATTTAACAATTTCAATACAATATTACTGCAATTCAAGATGTTGTTGAGTATTCGTTTGAATACCAGAAATATCATGTTGATTAGCTAGTTCAATCTAATGATGACTGAATAATACAAGTAAACAAACATGTTTTGTGCTAACTGAATTCTCAATTGATGATCAATCAAGGTTAGACACTGTGTAAAATAGAAAAATCAAACTATTCTAAGTCACTCGTTATACAACACCTATAAGGAAATCACTAGTAATAATCTGCAGTAAAATGATTTCATCACAGTCAGCTAAACAAATAAAGTTATTTAGAATCATGAATAAACGATGTCAGTCAATATATTATTGATATCAGAACAAAAAAAATAATTAATGGTACATGGATATCAATCTTTTTAGTGAAATCAATAACTACTATAAAGATGATAACTTACAACAAGACCAGGAACAAACACGAGTATTGCACCCGATGTTGTATTCTGTAAAATATGCTCAACTGAATGTGCAATAAGATCGGTTTCAGGATATGTGTCTTCTCCAACACTACGTAAAATTTCTACTGCATTCGAAGATAATCTGAATATTCAATGTTCAGGAATTTTATTAGAAAAATTTAATAAACAATGGCAAAATGTATAAGTAATGCTGTTAAATCATTGTAATTGTAAACAATTACACAACTTTTCTAGAATTTTTTGTGCTTAAGGCTGTTTTAAGGGACAAAACATTAGAAGGACAGAAACTGTTGTCAGTAGACTACTTACTTACTCACGCCTGTTACCCTCAATAAAGCATAGGCCGTCGACCAGTTTTCTCCAACAAACTCTGTCCTGGGTTTCCCTTTCCATTTTTTTCCTATTTTTGTTCATTCTTCTCATGTCTTTCTCTATTTCTAGGCGTAATGAGTTCTTTGGCCTTCCTTTTTTCCCTTGATCTTGAGGGTTGCAAGTGGTTTGTTTTGTAGTTCGGTGCTTTCCGCAGTGTGTGTCCTATCCACTCCCACCGCTTCTTACTGATTTCCTCCTTCACTGGAATTAGGTTAGTTCTCTCCCACAGTAGGTTATTGCTGATAGGGTCTGGCTAACGCGTTTGGAGTATTTCGCGTAGACAACTGTTCACAAATACTTGTATCTTCTGGATGATGGCTTTCGTAGATCTTCAAGTTTTCGCTCCATACAGTAGAACTTTCTTGACATCAGTACTGAAAATCCTGATTTTGGTTGAAAGTTGTTTCGAGTTCCAGATGTTTGCAATTGAAGAAATGCTGTCCTTGCTTTGCCGATCCGCGCCCTCACATCTGCATCGCATCCACCTTGCTCGTCAACGATGCTGCCCAGATATGAAAAGCTTCTTACGTTCTACATAGCATTTCCATCAAGAGTGATTTGGTTGGCACATGTTATGTTGTATCGGAGAATCATAATTTTCCATCTGTGTATGTTGCTGAAGCTGCTGATACACTGGTCGTTATCTCTTGCATTTGTTGTTACAGGTGCGTTAGAAGAACCAGATCAAATGCGATGTACAAATCGTCCAGCTGCATCCTCATTGTCCACTGTATACCGTGCTTCCATCCAGATCTTGACGTCTTCATAATACCAGGCGAAAGAGAAAGGGTGAGAGTAAGCAACATTGCCTGACACCGGTCTCAACCTGGAATGAGTCTGTTAGCTGTCTTCGGTGCACGATTTTGCAGTTTAATCCACCATAAGAATTCCGTATGGTGTAGAATATCTTCTCAGGCACGCCATAGTGTAGAAGAAGCCTCCATAGTATTGTCTTGTCCATGCTATCAAATACTTTCTCGTAGTCAATGAAATTGATGTAGTGTTGTGAGTTCCATTTAATTGATTGTTCTACAATGATCCGTAATGTCGCATGTGATTTGGTAGGTATAAGATAGATCCTTACGAAAAGCAGTCTGTTTATCTCGAAGTTGGGCGTCTAAGAAGTCCTTTATTCTGCTAAATAATACCTTGTTTTAGAGTTTGCCTGGTATTGAGAAAAAAGAGTGGTGCCTCTGTAGTTTTCACACTTGCTCAGATCGGCTTCCTTTGCTATCTTGATGAGGTATTCTTCTTTCCAATCTGTTGCTACTTGTTATTCATCCCAAAACACGCTGAAGAGAATTCGGAGTATCTTTGAAGTTGCTGCCACGTCCGCTTTCATTGTCTCGGTTGGAACGTTGTTTGTCCCCGCTGCTTTGCCGCTCTTGAGTTGTCTGAGGTCCACGTTATTCTCTCCAATTGTTGGTGGGCTAACATCGATTGGGAGGTCCGTAAGTGCTGTTTCGAAGTTGTGTGGGTGCAGTGTAGCTGGTTGTTTCAAGAGTTCCTTAAAGTGCCCTACCCACCTGTTTCGCTGTTCTTCAATGCTGCTGATTACTTTGCCATCCTTGCTTTTCACAGTTTTCGATCGTCTCTCCCTGTCCATGTCGTCTCATGATGCTTTCATATACATTCCAACATTGGCATTTACATCTCCCATTAGAATGGTCGAGTTCTTTGATAAGCGATTTTCGACAATTGACAAGAGCCTCTCGTAGAATTGAGCATTAACGTCTTCATTGTAGTCGGTAGATGCATAGCATTGGATGACGGTCATTGTAATGCTCTCTTTCTTTGTTTCGAAGGATGCTTTGATGATTATGGGTCAATGAGATTCCCACTGCATAACTTCATTTTGTGCTTGTTTGGGCAGCACCAGTGAGACTCATTGTGTGTGAGGCATTTTCTTCTTCATGGTCGGAGTTTAACAGCAGCTTTCTTGAAGCTAGTCTAATTTGTCAAACTTGTGTCCAATGCGTTTCACTGATTCCAAGCACCTACAGGCTGTATCTTTGCATTTCTGCAGCAATTTGAATGACTCTCTCGGTTCCCCATATTGTACGAACATTCCACGTATCGGTAATAATGGATGCTCTGGTTGTCAAAGGGGAGTCAGCCTCGTGGCTTTGATCATGAGACGGCATAACTCTCCTGAATGAAGGCCTTCCAACTCGCAGGGCAGAGTTTAGGTATTTTGAATTAATTTTTCTGGTTAGAGTTTTCTTAGTGAGTTAGTTTTCTACGGGATGGGGTCGCCAACCCTATGCACAATCCTCCTCTTTTATCCAGGCTTGGGACCAGCACTAGCCTCAGGCGGAGTTGTCAACGAACTAACATCTCACTAATTTTCATCTAGGCAAATGATTAGCGTCATTTAGAAAAAGGGAGGTGTTAATTCAATGAAAACTTCCAAACCATCACCATGAAGATGAAAATTCCGAGATTCATGATAAAAGAGCAACAAATGTGTTTTTATTGATTGATCTTTAAGGCTGAGTGGAATTTTTCTGTATTTATATTTGAGAGAATTTAGATTGGATATAATATCAAGTAGTATGTATCAGCAGTTTGAAAGAAGGAGGGCTGATATTACTGTAAAACTGAATTATGGTCAGTATATAATTTGAGAAAAATGTAATTGAACTAACCGTAATAAAACATCACTTATTATTCCAAAATAAAGTAACTTTATATCTAGTTCATTACAGAAGTAAGAGCATACAAAGTTAGGATCTTTCCTACTAAAAAAGTAACAGCATGATATAGACACAATTTTGGAAGTGTTACAGTAGGATTAAAATAATGCAATCAAATGTAGATTTCCAGCAGCCAACTACTGTGAATGGTATTACCAATATAACTTGAATACTTTGTATATAGAGAAAAGAATATTTATGACTTCACCTATGCAGTCAATCAGTCATCAACAACGCCTGATACAAATGTACGTTGGCTCCAACAGCAAAGCAGAGATGAAATTAACAACAATTAATACTGAATGAATTAAAATGGTGTGACAAGAATGATGAGATAGATTAAAAATCAAAAATATGATCCGTAAACAGTGAATGAAAAAATATACGTATAAAGAAATACTGGAATTCAAGGTTTAGCCAAGATAAATAGTTTATATACCTAAGACTTGTCATTTAACATCAGTAACCACTGATGGCATTGATTGGGAGGACCCCAAACTAGCAGTCCGCATCTAGCTGCACTGCTCAGATTAACTTTTTGAAATGATGCCAAGTTTTAGAGTTTGATTGCTCCTAGCTTTTTATCAACTTATTCCTACAATAGCTAACAAGTCTCGTTGAGGTAGACGATGGTTACGCATTCGCGAAACATGTTTTACTCATCCAGTCGATGAAGATTCGATTCGACATATCAGGGTTGACAAAGCTACTAAAAGTGATCAACACTCACTTATTAGTTTAAGAATAAATTTATGCATATGATAAAACTCAATGATAACAATAATAATAATAATAATAATAACGGTAATCATGGTGAGAGTAGATAGGTTGATGGAATTTAGAGTTTATAAGATAGATTAAATAATATCCAAAAAATGCAGTGTACAATTTATTAAATTTTTATCACAAACTGAAAATACTTCAGGGAAACCCGAAAATATACCTAACCAATTACCAAACAGAATGTACTACAGAGATTTTGTTTGTATGGTTGATCAATTCCTACTAACCTATTTTAGAGTTCAGTTACTAAGATGAATAGTAGAATGCGCCCTTTTGTTGTCAAACGGTTAGAAGTAGGCTTGTGTTTTTGATGCAGCACTGGCTTCTTTAAGATCATAGGTACTGTTTGCCGGTAAACACAAAAAACTGAACAGAACATTCTGCTGAGCTCTCTTAACTATTCGACAATGGGATAACGGTCCTAACTTCCATAAGGCATGTGAGACGAAATATTCAGTCTATAAAGATGTACAAGGTCATTCATTGAGTTGGAAAGATTAGTTAGTTCCAAGAACAAAGTTCCTTTAATAGACGTTTTCGAATTGTATAGTTACGTTATAACAAAGAGAAGTTTTGTCTAAGGCTTGGTTACAGCAAACCAATTAATGATAATAAAAGGAAAAAGGTCACATGAGATCAAAAACAAAACTGTAAGTAATAATTAAAAATAAGGCAAGTGTGGTGAAAATAATTTCAAGAGAGAAGGGAAACTGATGTAAAGAGCCAATTAGAAATACACAAAGGATAATTTGAAAATTAGAAATGTATAAAAGGACAAATACATACTATTGGCTAGAAAATTCATTGATTTTTTAAGGGAAAGAAATGTATATATGAACGAGTGTTTATGTATATTAATTGGTAGCCGAATATATTTTACTTCTTGCTCAAGTAGTCAGTTTGGAGGTCAATGCATAGCACTTCCAGATTTCGGACGTCGCACATCATAACACAAATAGAAAGGTCTGACAACTTAGAGCATCCGATTGCCTACAACTATTGGTGCGTTAGCTATCAGTGAGTAATTTATTGTAGATTTGATGTTGAATAATAAATGACACAAGAGAATATTTACAAACAAAACAATATGTTTATTACTAGTACTAAAACTCGTACTACTTTCAAAAACCGTCTAGTAACAAATACCTAAACATTTTAGTCGGTAGTATACAAATAACTTCCACCATGGATTCATTTGTAAAACTACCAAGAAAAAAGTGAATAGTATTCTATTCAAAACAGTATACCATGGTGAATGATTTGGTGAATATGAAGCATTCCAATCACATATTCATCATTATCGAAATTCGACTTGTTATTCAAAATAAACTGAGCATTGAGCAGATTGCTATTCATAAAATAAGTGATAAATTTATAATAATTCAATGATTAGAAAGCTAGATTTTTAGCATTTCACAAGTTAATATAAGCTGCTTCCTCAGATTGCAAGACTAAACAAACGAATTAAGTAAACGGAAGCTTAAACAGCACAAAGGAGCAAACCAAAAGTATTTAGTACAGTCAAAAACTAGGTCTGATAAAATCAATATCATGCCACTGCAGTCAGGGCAATTCTATGAAATATCGGTATACATCTATTTGTTGGTGTGCGTGCGTAATGTAAAGCTAACTTTGTATGTGTTAACAGAATGAGATGTGAATAGAATAAATGGTTTAGGTCAGCAGTGATAAGGTTTTTTATTCTATTAAGGACAATAAAATGTAGCAGTTTATGCAAAACTTTATCTACAAATCTTTATTTATAGTTGGAAAAGCCTTTTTGAATTATTTTTCTGTCCTTAGTATTTGTTTGGTGGTCATTGAAGACGATATGCTCTGCCATCTTACATGTATATTGACTCCAGTTGAAATACTATGCCATACTACCATAGCTTTCAAATATCTTTTCCTTCAAACTTATTTGCTACGCTAAACGGTTATAAATCCTTCGCAAAGTGGAGGTGGCTGAAGAAATTAGAGAACTACTGACTATTATTATTCACTATAGGGTGTTTCGATAAAACCACCTACCACTTAGTGTCAAGACAGCCCTACCTATTCATCAGCAAATAATGGACAATATTCAAGCGGGTAACTTGGGGGTCGCAACTTATATTGATGATATTTTAATTATCATCACATCGTTAGACCAACTAATGGCTGTGTTGTAATGCATAAGTGATAGTGGTCTCCGGCTACGTCCAGAAAAGTGTTACTTTTTCCTATGATTAGTAAAGTATTTAGGATTCACCTTTGGCGCAACAAGTGGCAGAAATATTCGAGTTGTACAACTGATGTCTGCTGCAACCAATGTTCCTGACCTACGATTAATCAGTTTTCGTGCCATCGACGCATGATATCCAGTTTCCACTAAATTGTTTGCTGAATAAAAACACTACTTGGAATTGGACAAAGGAATATGAAATAGGTTTGCGCAAACTGAGCATGATTATTGCAAACCCACTGAGACCCATTCACGCCTATCAACTGTGGGTGAGGGAAATCATCTTTAAATCAAACAGTTTTTGAGAAAGCATTAAAATTTATTGCCAGCTCACAATCCGACCTATATTTTTTGTCCTATTTATTTTTAAAGTAATTTTGAGTAAATATAAGTCTATTGTAACAGCGTCACTGTTCTTGGTATGGATATCGTAGAACATATTCTGCACCATCGAATTAAATAATATTATATGTTATGTAAATAAATGATCCTAAACAATACGCCTATTAAATGTAGAGTCGGGAAACCTTACCGGACAGAAGCTTTGAATGTATGGTAGTATGAAAATATTTCGAAAGGAGAAAATAAATCTCACCACCCGTAGCTTCTTGAGAGTATGTAATAGCAACTGATAAAATTTTTTAGAGAACAATAATTTTCATGCCACAAGAAACTACCGAACAAGGAAAAAAGACAATGAAATATTTTTCAGAAATTTTTAACATACCCTGTTAACGATTTCAGCCACTTATTGAATTCAGGACTTTTTCCATAGGACAATATACGAGCTTCTTTTTTTGAAAGATTCGATTTTAAAAGACGCTGTTTTAATGTACGAGACTGATCACGACCTAAAGCAGCTATAGCATTATTCGGCAACCAAAATCTAAGAAAAATAATAAATTCATGAAAAATTTCAGTCATATTTTATTGCGCATGGTACAATCCAACTAATAAATCATGTAGAAACAAAGTTACCAACAGGAAAACCGAGAATAAGTAAGCTAAACATATCACTAGAAATATACAGAACACGCTTTACTGTTATGAAAGAAACAAATGAAACGATGAGACTTGAAATGCAAATCATAAAAAACCAGAGGATATATTTTAATTAGATGCAAAAAGAAATAAGATAAAACCGAAAATACACATATCAGAAACATAACTGAATGTCGCTGGAAGCAATAAAAATCTAAACCCTATGAAAAAGCTCAATAGACAAAATGGTACAAAATGAAAAAAATTCTTGTGTGATAATCTAGATTCAAGTGAGTGATCATCGGATTGATGAATGTATCGAATGAGTTAATATTTAAGTAAAATAACATAATAACTAAAGATGAGAATGACGAAATGTAATCGTAACCTGGCAATTATCTAGCGAAATTACATTATTACTCAAAATACATCAATAACCATTTATAATAACTGAAGAGTGCAATGAAATGAATGATTATTTATCATACTACTATTATAGACGACTTACTTAGTTTCCTTCAAAACATCTTCTAAATAATATGTCTTCACTGGGAAAGTTCTACCGGGAATTTCAAATTTAGGACAATTGTCTAAAAATAATTAGAAATTACAACAAAGCTGTTGGGTCAGATTTGAAATAAATTTCAAGGCTGAAGTATTAGATACTGAGGGACATAACCATATACTGATAAGCAATAACAGATAAAAAGTTAAGTTATTCAAATTTTCACCGATGTAAAAGACACATTTGAAAAATGTAACTTAACTAGTCATGGTTAATAGTTAGCTTCAATGAAATCCTAAGTGTGATTGTTTGCAGTTACAGTGAATTTCAATAAAAGAAAAAAATTGCAGTAGGATAATCAAAATTTAACGATAGGCTGTGAACAACTGTAAAGGATGAATAAACATTATTGAATTAGTATTATTGTCCTCTGTTCATAGTAATTCACTTAATCGACAATTATAATGATTAAAAAGCTTACTGAAGAAAGTTTTAAAGTTTATCGCATAGAACACCTATCAAGACGTTGCAAAATTATTTCAACGCGAAAATTTTTTTCTTTATAACAAAAAAATACACATGTCAGCCAGCAAAAATGAATGTATGAATATATATCAGATACCTTAGTACACAATGGTAACTACCAGCTGTAATTTATAATCAAGTAATAACAGTAATAGGTTTTCAGTAAAAAACCGGATTAAGAACTTTGAGTCATTTATTTATTCACTTTCATCAAAGCAAGGTACAATAAATCTGCTGCCAGACATTACGTTGACACTCATGTCATATACTACTCATAAGTAGCTCGCACCACATTACTACCACTAAGAGTGTAGAGGTATTTGTACTTTTAAACTAGAGGTAACCCAAAATAGAAGTAGTTTTAAACAAGTATTGTTCGACTATAATTACTAAAGCTATCAAAGGTAATTTTGTTGTTGTTCGCTACCATGTAGGCGTAATGAATTGATTTTCCAAGAAATTCGACAATCATCTACAGTTTGCGAATTTATAACTATCAACGGCTAACTTTTAATGTTACTCAACTTACGACGCTATATTTGTGAATCACTTTATCTGAATCTTATTTAAATAAAATGATTATGAGCAATAACTTAAGGGTTTTTGATATCACCTACTTGTTCAAACTATAGTGGATAGAGAGAGGTTTGAATCTAAGACTTAGTGACCAACAGACTAACGCCTCAGCATCAGCTAGGGTGGAATAATATTAGTTGAGAAATTTCGTTTCACAAGGTGATTGTATTAAGATTTGAAGTTGCCTATAACACATGATAACATAAAAATAAATGTGATTACTTTCTATAAATAAGTAGATCATTTAAAAATACAAAAATAGATAGATGGTCGCAGTAACTGATGATACAAAAAACAGGGTAAATAAATTCTCTGAAGAAACTGAAATCCCATTTAAATGGTGAAGACTAGTCGACTACTTTATTACTAATACTACCATTTGATTAAAATCACGAAGTTTGGCGAAAGGATCTCTTTTCGACGAATTGATTACCAAGCAGTACAATCGCATAAACATGTAAAATACGTATGAATAAAAATTTGTAACTATTAATTCAAACAGGAATTATGAACAGTGAATACACATGATGACGTAATAGTAAGATAATGATACAAGAATATATTGCATAAATACTAACAACGGATTTTGTGCGTAAATAAAAGGCTTGTAACTTTAAAAATCAGTTGGTAACGGATCATAATATGAAAAAAGTAGGACAAATACACACCCGCACATTCACTGACTTATCATTGTAACTACTGACTTCATTCTTACGTGTTCACTATCTCCGTTTTATCTTTTCTAGTTGTAGACAATCATAACCAATGTGTTGTGACACTGGAAACGACACTAAACGCACCGATCATACAGCAACATGATGCATTGTTACAGAGGATTAATAATTCCTCACTGATGCCTTGCATTATTGCTATATGTATGAAAAATATGCTTCCTAAACAATTTTCGAACTAGAACACTTCAAACAATGTGACACGACATATCTGTACCCAACATTAAATATTCCTATCCATATCAAGCTGACTAAGCCTGTGAATCGGAGTGAATCTTGTAATTATTATCCTCAAGAAATGTTATCATTACTAACGTAAGTGTTTTACGCCAGTAAAGTAAAACGAAACGAATTTCTGAGAAGTGAACACTTCCTTTGGCTAACAGATGGATATCTCGCAAAAGCCAGTTGAGCCTCCCGTTTCCGTGCCGAAATTTTATCAGATACAAGGATAAAAGCACTGATGAGGCTCCTAAGATCAGTGAAGCAGCTCACATGCTCAACTACTTCACTCCATATCACTAGTTCGGACCCCAGACGCAAGCTAATCCTGAAGCAACATTTCTCATTAAGAGTGTAAGAATCGCGTCCCGATTATGTTTCCATTGTTACTTAGGGTGATCAGAAGATTCCGGCCTTTTTCAGCATAACCAAACCGAACTATATCATCCGCATATTATAAGTGAACAAGTGAATCTGCTGGTAGAAAGTCAACTTCTGAAAAGTCAGTCGATGAAAGTGTCGTCTCTAAAAGCATGTTAGCGCCGAAGTTGAATAAGAGTGGAGAAACTGGACAACCCTGAAAAACACCACACATAACAACAAATACATGAGAAGATGGACAGTGTAGCAACAGCCTCTGCAGCAGTAGGTCCCAACATACACAAAGGAAGAAGCAAGATCCCCTGAAACAACATATGCACCAGCCAAATCACATATAATGGAACTTTGGAAGATGTGGATACTTTTACGTATCTGGGCAGCATCATTAATAAACGAGGTGGATCAGATGTATATCAGGTATTAAAACTGGATCAGCATCTTTAAAAATCCCAGGGGTCGATCCATCAGGATCTGCTGCTCTCCCTCGCTTCAGATCGCCTTCAGCCCTTTCGACTGCATTAAGAGTTGGATCACTTACATTAATTTGCCATTCACGTTGTTTAGAGATGGAAGGACTTGCTGAAGATAGTTGAACTGTTCTCTAAAGTGTTCTGCATATCGATGTAAGCTTGTCGATTGAGAGTGAATAATAGTCCCATCTTCTTCTGAGAATCTCGCTAAAAGCCAGACCTCTAATACCAGGTTCCTTGAGAAGTCTGAACAGTTGCCTACTGCTACCTAACGCCGCCGCCTTTTCCAACTCTCTTGCCTTTGCTAACCACCACTGTTTACGATCGTTGCATAGGCTTTTGATCAGCCTGCGCTAAAGCTGCCTCCGCTCCTCATCGCGTCCACAACCGAATGAGATCAGTTGCCGAGTCTATCAGTTCAGTAGATGCCACTGGAATCTACTGCTTCCTAAAATTTCGGTCTAAATTACTGGCAGAAATCATTGCTGTTTCCACAGCTCTTCGGATATCAGTCCAAGCTGCCTTGATGTGGACATAATTTACGTAGTCGACCAACTGTCTTTCCAGTCGCTCCTGAAATGTACTCTTGGCTTTTTATCTTCCAGTAGAACTCTAAGAGGTTTTCTCAATGTGGCATTTTTATCACCAGTAAGCCGCAGACAGATAGATACGTGCTAGCACTACAGCATGACCTGAATCTAACATGTGCTCCAGAACGAACGGCAGTCTTCTATCGAGCCTCTCCATCGATGGCTGATAGCGAGCTGGTCTAGTCCGGTTCGGCTTCGAGTCCATTTCGAGGGTCGCCATGCCAAAACATGTCTTTTCTTTATGCCTAAAGTTGGTGTTTGCCAGAAATAGGCCGTTATTTGAGCACAGTTGCAGCAGATAGTCACCATTACATGTTCCATGTACCATGACACTATAAAACCCACCCAGTTGACTTTCTGTCTCGTTTAGTATACCTACTTGAGCATTATAATCACCAGACACTATTGCTACATCAGAGCGCTTAGGTTTGTGTTAGGTTTGACATTCAAATCCCAGACCTAACAAAGAGTTTGCGAATGGCTGTTTCTAGACAAGATACAAAGCATGAGCAGAAGGCAGAATTGACATGAAAGGTTTTAGAGTGGCAAATTACATCCAACAGAACATACGTTAGATTGATACTCAGAATGATTTTCTCCTCTGTTTTTTGATTGAGCAGCATGCCAAAGACCTATCTCTTTCCCCTTCAAACCTCGTGGTCTAATAACTTTGAAGAATGCTTTCCTCACAATAGAGGGGCGACGGGAAGCAGAAGTGGGGCTTCCAGATACGCGAAGCGTACATCACGTCAGTTCTTTATCTTGATATGGTGAGGTCAAACGAACAGCTTCACTCTGAATCGGTATGGGCGTTTCGGAAACGCAGTATACATCAATGTCGCAAGACCCTAAAACACTAGTTAAGGAAGCCTGTTGTACTATTTGACATAAGCTTAGAACACTAAAAGCTCCAGAATAAAGTTTAATGCGCGGTTTCAGGAAACCAGGAATAACATTCCGTGTACTCAAATCGTTAGCATTAGTGGCGCGACGTGATAACGGCATACGAGAAGGGTGAGTCATGGGGACAAGTGGGTTATTAAGTTGTGAAGGAAGGATTCAGTCGTGACAAAGCTGATATCATGTGCAGTTAGAGGTATGTGGGTTGATGCTTTTTCCCAGTTGCCGACACTGTGGAACGGTGTGTTTCTTAAGGGACTTGGAGAGGAGGCTCGGTTAGCGTTGGTCTTAGCGATTTGGGAGCGTGACCACACAGTGCAAGAGACGACTACTTGAGGCCGGTTGCACACAGCCTTTTCATGAGAAGTTTTCAGAGTGTTAGCTTTGCTCTACGAAAGGCTTTATCGCCAGAAAAGGAAATCTGTTGGGTTTGGTGAGTTATGACATTTGTAGGGTCAACCTTTTCTAACCCGATGTTTCTGTTGTGAAGGGTATACATCGCAAGAAATGCTGTTTTTACGATGAAAACATCTAACTGTTATCACACCCTTCTACATTCAGCAGTACGACTTCGTCCTGAGACCTTACGTTGCTGCTTTTGGTCTTACCATTCTCCGATCGACCAGGCTGCCACGGTCATCATCATCATCAACAGCAACGTAGAACTTCGTACGTAAGTACATCAGTTCAAGTTGTCATACCGCATTAACACAGAGATGTAATTATCAATTCAAATCTCATAGTAGTAGAGGTAGTAAAAGTATTATAAGTAATCGGAGAGATAAGGGTTCGAAGATATTATTCAAGAAGTATAACTCAGTGAGGTAAATTTAGGAAGATAGAGGTGATGAGGAATTCAGAAGATTAGAATCCGAGAGAACACAAAGAATGTATGCACCTGCGCCATTGCGAACGGTTTTGAGCCATCTCACTCAAGGTCTCTAACCATCGATTACTATAATCTCGCCGGGCCCCAATCAGGTAGTCGACACCTACTGACATGACTCAGTCTACTTGTCAGTGACTCCATGGATTTTTGTCATGTGCCATGGCCGCCTCTAGCTTTTTTCCAACCTACTCCTACATCGTAAAGCATAGCTCGTCGAGGCAGTCGGTGGTTAGGCATACGCAACACATGTCCCAACTACCTCAACTGATAAGGTTTCAATACTTCATCTACTGATTTGCCATTTATCATCCAGCACCGCTAATGCAAACGATACGAGTTCACGAAACATTATTCCTGGTCTCCTGAAACCCCGTTTTAAACTACATGTTGGAGCTGGTTTCACACCTGGACGTGGCTGTACAGACCACATTTTCACACTACGTCAGGTCCTAGAACAAAGACACACATTCGGACGCCTCATAATAGTAGTATTTCTCGACCTTAAAGCGGCATTCGACTCCGTTGATCATGAGGTTCTGTGGCAGTGTCTGTCATTAAAAGGTGTACCAAAGATGTACATTAACCTTATACAAGTTCTACTTTAAAACTACTGGTCAACGAAGAGAGCTTATGGCGAACTGTCATCGGAATTCTTTATGTCAAGCGGTGTTTATTAGGGCTGCCGACTCTCTCCATTCCTGTTTGAATTTGTCGTAGACATCCTCTTAGAGTTAACATTAAGCTCGCCTGACTTCTCAGGAGTGGACCTTTTACGTGTAGACACGCTTGCTGACTTAGAGTATGATGATGACATAGTCCTATTCGGTGAAGACGATGACAAAATGCAGTCTTCTGACCACTCTAAGCAACAATGCCAGAATGTTTGGGATGTGGTTCTCCGCGTCGAAATGCAAAATGTTGCTTCAAAATTGGGTTGCATCGGCACCTGAACTAGTGATAGGGAATGAAGTAGTTGAGCGTGTCAACCGCCTCACTTATCTAGGGAGTCTCATCAGTGCTGATAGCCTGGTGACTGACGAAATCTCAGAACGGATACAGAAATTTTGGTTGGCTTTTGCCAACCTGCGTCACTTATGGCGTAGGCGAGATATCCGTTTGCTAACCAAAGGACGAATGTACTGCACAGCAGTTCTCTCCGTTCTCCTATATGGATCCGAAACATTGCCGGTAAGAGTAGAGGTTACTAGCATTCGACCATAGATGTCTTGGAAGCATTGCTCGTGTATGGTGGGACAACCGAGTAAGCAATGCTGTCGTTAGGAAACGGGTGCTAGGTAAGGATGGCAGATCAATAGATGAAGTAGTGAAACTTCATCAGTTGATGTGTTTGGGACATGTGTTACGTATGGCTAACCACCGACTGCCTCGACGAGCTATGTTTTGTGGTGTAGGAGTAGGTTGGAAGAAAGCTTAGGGGCGGCCAAACTAAAACATGGCACGAATCCATGAAGTCACTGACAAGTGGACTGAGCTATGTTTGTAATGGCGCAAGTGCATAGTTTCTCCGAAGCATTGCTTGAGTATTGTGGGACAACGGAGTAAGCAATGCTGTTGTTAGGAAACGAGTACTAGGAAGGCATGGCAAATCAGTAGATGAAGTATTGAAACCTTATCAGTTGAGGTAGTTGGGACATGTGTTGCGTATGCCTAACCACCGACTGCCTCGACGAGCTATGCTTTACGATGTAGGAGTAGGTTGGAAAAAAGCTAGAGGCGGCCATGGCACATGACAAAAATCCATGGAGTCACTGACAAGTAGACTGAGTCATGTCAGTAGGTGTCGACTACCTGATTGGGGCCCAGCGAGATTATAGTAATCGATGGTTAGAGACCTTGAGTGAGATGGCTCAAAACCGTTCGCAATGGCGCAGGTGCATACATTCTTTGTGTTCTCTCAGATTCTAATCTTCTGAATTCCTCATCACATCTATCTCTTTCTAAAGATATCTCTCTGAATTATACCCTAATCTTCTTCATTACTGCTAATACTTCTACTATCGCTACCACTATTGGATTTGAACTGACAGTTGCGTCTCTGTGTTAATGCAGTATGGCAACCTGAACTAATCTACATACATACGAAGTTCTGTGTTGTATCTGTCTACGTCCACTATGATCCGCCGCAAAAAGCATGGAAAAACATTCTGACGTATAATACTGAGTATCCCATTTATTTTCATGTTCAGTAATTACTCCCTTTTCTTCACCAAACCTCAGGTGTATTCAAAAGTCATCCATATTAGGTAAAACTAATTTGTAAACTTTTTAAAACCACATTGTTAGCGATAGGAACATTTGAGACTAGACAAGAAAATTTTAGTTTCTATAGTCAATCCAACTAAAATTACTAACTACGATTGTCTATCATAAAATATTTTAAACGACACTTACCAAAATACTCAGCAAATTTGTCTGCATTGATCGTTGCTGACATAAGGACTATTCGAAGATCTGGACGAAGAGGAGCAATTCGTTTTAGCATGCACAATAAAAAATCACACAAAAATTCCCGTTCATGTACCTCATCAACAATAATATGGCTGATGTTCTACAACGAAGGAATTCAAAGTGTAGCATTGGACAAACTTTATTGTTGAAGTTAATTTCTGTCAAATTATCTACTAGAATTTCACTAGATCAATGAATATTTGATGAATGTTGAAAATAAAATTAAAAACTAAAAGCCTTTCTGTGCCTTATAAAATAGTATAAAGTTAGAATTACGACCCAATTAAAGAGCTGATTGAGAGAAGTAACAAAACACACAAAATATGTGATTAGTATAGCAATCGAAATCATGATAAACTGTTATTGAGTATTGACTGACTTCATATATTACCTACAAAGGCTCAACGTCTGACAGTAGATTATAAAAATACCAATGTCGACGTCGATTTGAATGTTTGATTTATCAAGAGCGAATCTGAGCTTGCAGTGTATTGAAATAGAAATCAAACAGTTAATTTTCTTTGAGGTCTGTTCACTTAATTATTCGAATAGTGTTTAAGATCGACTTAAGTCAATTTATATGAGATCATGAATCATGAGTTGAAACATTTTTAATATTTTGGCCGTAACCTAGAATGTTCACTCATATTGTATCTATATAATAAATACAACCCAAAGCGCATTTCACAGACCTATACTTAATTAATGAGATATATTGTTTCGTTCCCTATAATTGAGGATAAACTATCATAAGTTAGGGGGAGAAAAGTCATAAATAACTTGAAAAAACGATTAATTACCTTTAAAAGTGGATCAGAACGAAACCATTGAAGAATTATGCCTGTTGTACAAAACATGACAGATGCATGAGGACGTTGAGGATATCGGCGTTCTAAGCGAACCTGATAGCCAACAGAAGATCCTATAGATTGTCCTCTTTCAGTTGCTACTCGTTCAGCAACCGAAATAGCACTTATACGCCGAGGTTGAGTCACAATGATACGCGTGATGGAGCCATTTCCACTTAGGACCTGATCTTCCAAAATAAACTGTGGAACCTGTGTAGTCTTCCCACAACCCGTCTCACCACTTATGATAACAACCTGGTTATCTCGAATAGCTGAGACAATATCCTGGAAAAAAAACACTGGGATGAATGGCATAATAAATTTTGGTTCTTTATTGGATTCTATAGTTTAATATTTTGTATAGTTAGAAAAAATCTCGTAATAGATGTAATTTTGCTGAGGTTTGATATCAATATGGTCAAACAAATAAATTGAGGCCAATTATTAATTCGTTGGGCTGAGAATCCTAAAGCAACGAATCTCTTCCAAGAAATTATGATTAGTAGACACGCAAATAAACAATCAGCTTACATCAAACGTGAAGAGGTAACCGTAAATTCAGATTTTCAACTTCCGAGTTCTTCATATCCCGACCGAAGCTGCTACCTTGACGTGGTGGTCGGGCTTGCCTATCGTGATGATTCAGCCGAACTATATCGGCCGGAACTTATGTTCCTGAAGGTTCTAACATGCCAGACAGGTCGATTGGAGAACGATCAGACTAAAAACAGCTATCCAAGGTCTGAGGGCGAAGTCGTACTGCTGACTGAAGAGGGGTGTAACAGCAGTAAGGTGTTTCCCTCGGACAACCAGCATCTGCAGCGATACTGCCTTCTCACAAGGAAGGAAGGGTTAGAAAAGGTCGACCCTAAAAATGTCACACCTCACCATACCTCACGGATTTCCGTCTCCTTGGGTAAGGGTGCAGAGCTAATCCTCAAAAACTTCTCATAAAAAGGCCGAGCTTGACCGGCCTCAAGCAGTTGTCCGTTGGACTCTGAGGTCACGCTCCCAGGTCTCCAAGACCAACACTAATTTATCTTCCTTTTCAAGTCCCTAAAGAAACAACCTTCCACGGTGTGGGCAGCCGGGAAGTGACAACCGCCCTCATACCCGTAACAGCACACGAGACCGAATTGGTCGAAATCATATCCTTCCTACACACCCTAATACCTCTCTTATCTCCACGACTAACTCTTCTCACATTCATTTATCACAGTGCACAGCTGATGCAAACGAAACGCGAAACGTCGTTCTTGGTCTCCTAAAACCCCGTTCTAAACTACATGTTGGAGCATTGAATGTATGGACATTGTGTCAAATAGGGCAACAGGCATCATTAGCTAGGACTTCAGAATCTCGTGTCATCGATGTGTGCTGCGTCTCGGAAACGCGCATACAGGATCCGAGTAGCATCATTCACTTGACCTCACCATGTCAAGATAAAGAAGCAACTCGACTTACCCTTCGTGTATCCGGTAGCCCTGATGCGGCTTCCAGGGGCCTCGCTGGTGTAGGCATAGCATTGAGTCGTAGGGCAGAACAATCTCTCCTTGACTGGATCCCTGTAGATAGTCGCTTGTGCGCCATCTGACTAAACGGGACAGTAAGGACTCGGAAAGATACGGACACCCGTCGTTGCCTCTTCGTCGTATCTGCGCCTATGCCCCCACTGACTGAAGTTCAGACGAGGTTGAAGATGAGTTTTACAGAAAGCTTTCGGACCTCCTCCAAAAAGCTAGACGCTCCGATGTAATAATAATGACTGGTGACTTTAATGCTCAAGTAGGTAGACTAAGTGAAAATGAAAGACACTTAGGTGGATATTATGGTGTCGCGGCTCAGAGAACAGACAATGGCGACCGTCTGTTGCAAGTATGCTCAGACAACCGCCTATTCTTAGCAAACACTAATTTTAAACATAAGGAAAAACATCTTTTGACCTGGCGACCCCCGAAAACGTCTCAACGTTGGACGCAACTAGATTATATCGCCATCAGCCACCGGTGGAGGGGTTCAATAGAGGACTGCTGCTCGTTCTGGGGCACATGTCTAGATTCAGATCATGCCCTAGTGCGAGCACGTATTTGTTTGAGGCTTGCTGGACGTAGGAAAGACACCGTAAGGAAGCCTCTTAGGGCTTTACTTGATGATAATCAAGCTAAGAAAATATTTCAGGAGGAACTAGAAAAACAGTTAGGTGACCATGCAAGTGATTCCCATCCGGAGTCAGGTTGGAACCATATCAAGAAGGCTGCGGAAACAGCAGTGATATCTGCTAGCAAGGTAAACCATAAGGCTAGGATGAAGCCGTGGATTTCAGTCGCATCCACCGAACTGATGGATGCTCTAAAACGCACCCCACCTGACTCTGAATATGATGAAGAGCGTAGTCGGCTTAGGCGCAGAAATATAAAAAGCCTACGTAACGACCGTGAACAGTGGTGGGTGGCGAAAGCAAAAGCGATGGAAAAGGCAGAAGCGATAGGCAACACTAGACAACTTTTCCGCCTTATTAAAGAAACCGGTATTAGGAACCCGAATGTGAGTGAGACTATCTCGGAAAAGGATGGCCTTATTATCCACTCTCAATCCAGGAGATTGGACCGATGGGCAGAACACTTTAGGGATCAGTTCAACTGGTCTTCAGCCACACTTCGGTTGCCCACGATCCCCAGTCATCCTGAATGGCAAATCGATTTAAGTCCTCCCAGTCTACATGAAGTTGAGAAAGCTATAAGAAATCTAAAGGGAGGTAGAGCAGCAGATCCTGATAGGCTTACCCCTGAGATGTTTAAGTATGGTGGTCCAGTTTTAACAGTTAGACTGACCGAGATCCTAGGTAGAATCTGGAAACTTGACGTAATCCCATCTGACTGGTCTCAGTCGCTAATTGTCCCAATCTACAAGAAACGACAAAAGTCTTCTTGTGACAATCACAGGGGAATAAGTTTAACTAATATAGTTTCTAAATTGTTAGCCTCGATTATACTTAGACGTCTAACTAGATCACGTGAAGAGCAGAATCGAGAAAACCAGGCTGGTTTTCGACCTGGACGTGATTGTATAGACCACGTTTTCACACTACGACAGGTCCTGGAACATAGACACACATTTAGGCGTCCTACAATAGTTGTTTTCCTGGACCTAAAAGCCGCATTTGACTCAGTGGATCGTGAGGTTCTGTGGCAGTGTCTGTCATTGAAAGGTGTACCAAAGAAGTACATTAACCTCATACAAGCTCTCTACTCGAACAATACAGGTCGAGTGAGAACATATGGCGAACTGTCGTCTGAATTCTCTACTTCAAGTGGTGTCCGTCAGGGATGTCCACTCTCTCCATTCTTGTTTAACTTTGTCGTAGACATCCTCTTAGAATTAACAATAAGCTCGTCAGATTTTTCAGGGGTTGACCTTCTACCAGGAAATTCGCTTACTGATCTAGAATATGCCGATGACATAGTTCTATTCGGTGAAGACACTGTCAGAATGCAGAGTCTTCTGACTACCATAAGCAACAATGCAAGCATATTCGGGATGTGGTTTTCCCCCTCGAAATGCAAAATGTTGCTTCAAGATTGGGTTGCATCGGCACCTGAACTAGTGATAGGGAGTGAAGTAGTTGAGCGTGTCAACCGCTTCACTTATCTAGGGAGTCTCATCAGTGTCGATGGGCTGGTGACTGACGAAATCTCAGCGAGGATACACAAGGCTCAATTGGCTTTTGCCAACCTGCGTCACCTATGGCGTAGGTGTGATATCCGTTCGCTAACCAAAGGACGAATGTACTGCACAGCAGTTCTCTCCGTTCTCCTATATGGATCCGAAACATTGCCGGTAAGAGTAGAGGTTACTAGCATTCGACCATAGATGTCTTGGAAGCATTGCTCGTGTATGGTGGGACAACCGAGTAAGCAATGCTGTCGTTAGGAAACGGGTGCTAGGTAAGGATGGCAGATCAATAGATGAAGTAGTGAAACTTCATCAGTTGATGTGTTTGGGACATGTGTTACGTATGGCTAACCACCGACTGCCTCGACGAGCTATGTTTTGTGGTGTAGTAGTAGGTTGGAAGAAAGCTAGGGGCGGTCAGACCAAAACATGGCAGAAATCCATGAAGTCACTGACTAGTGGACTGAGTCATGTTGGTAGATGTAGACTACCTGGTTGGGGTCCGCGGGACGAAAGTCACCAATGGTTAGAGACCTTGAACGACATGGCTCAAAATCGTTTTCAATGGCGCAAGTGCATCCATTCTTTGAGCTCTCTCAAATCCTAATCTTCTGGATTCGTCAGCACCTCTACCTTTGTCTTTCTAACCTTATCTGACTGAATTATACTTATTGAATAATATTTTCGAACCCTAGTCTTCTTCGTTACCATTAATACCTCTACTATCTTTATCACTATGGGATTTGATTTGACATTTGCGTCTCTGTGCTAATGTGGTATGGCAACATGAACTTATGTACATACGTACGAAGTTCAACGTTGCAACTGACTGACTGACTGACTGAGTTCTTCAAATCAAACTCTTGAAGACAATTTATTGCATCACAAGGGGTATTTCCTGTTTTGTGTTAGAAAGATATTCTTATTTCTAAACGTTATTAACTGACTGTTATGTAGTTGGTATTTGTAACGTTTTTTCATATCAGATAATTGTGATGTATCTAAATAGATTATAAATTATAACAAAACTTTTGTCAAACATTCATCTTGTGAGTTTATTGGAGGCATGTTTCTCTTTAGAATCTTACACTATGAAAGTCAAGAAAATCTGTTGTCGATGAAGATTATTAGAATACCATTTATCAAATTTCACAAAAGTGAATAAATAAACGAAATACCCACTTCTTTGAATTGATACGCCGGAAGTTTACACCTAGATTCTGAAATTTTCAAATAAGCAGGAGAACTCATGCAGCTCTTCATTGAAAGATTGAGTTCATGATCAATATCGGGATTTCGAGCCAAGCGTTCTTTTGTTATTAACATTTGATCAGGGTCAGAACATGGACCCACTGAAACATCAAAACTATCTTGAATCTCTCCGAATAATTCTTCTGCTTCGTCCTCATCTGAAGCTTGTTTTGAAGTGCTGAGAGTTGGGAGTTTACACATAGGTGAAATATGCTCGTTACTAATTCTGGGGAGTTCGAAAACTGGTTCTGAACATTCTTGTATAACTGACTGGATTTTCAAGAGATTCATGCCGACAAGAGGCATGGAAGCAAACTATTTAAATGAAAAATTTGTAAACAGAAAGAAACTATGGGTAATTAATGATTAAACGTTGGTTTTTAAGTCTAAAAAGACTAGAAATTTGCACTCAAAAAGGATTATCTAACCCGACTAAATTGAGCATTGAGAAGAAAATATACTCTAGTAAAACACTTTTCAGAAACATGACTAGATAAAAAGTATGGAAATATAGGTAATATTGTGTTAACGTCATGTTTTATTTTTGCCCCCTAAGTGAGAAATGTGAAAATTGTCTGATGATTCGAATTTAGGAATTTAGTACAGATATGATTATAATATTCTCAGTATTAATTTTTTTAGCTCAATGAACCTTTTTGCTCGGAAGCACATCTTCAAGGAACTGGAGAGCAGTCAAGAATAGAGACAATATAAAAGCAGACTGACGATAGATCTGGCTAATGATCTCCACAAGTGATGAGCAACGAAAATAAGAGATGAAAGTAAAAGTTCATAACACTAGATACAAATTCAGATAGGCGAGTATCAAAAAGTTAGTTGTTGGATGGATTATTTCAGAAAAGAATAGAAGTGCAATCTATTCTTAGTCCAGGAGACTGAAACGATGGGGAAAATACTTGGAAGAACATTTCAACTAGCTTGAAACTACGGAAACTTTTGAGTAACAATCCAAGAATATTTATGATTCACTCCTAGTCCTGTAAGATCTATCAAGACCAGTATGCATAGACGATTAGACAGATCATAGAAAATAAAATAGTAGTTTCAGCAACCCCGATGAGTAGGTTTAGCGAAATATTACTACGGATTTAAATATTTTGGTTGACTAAACATCGGTAACCAGAGAGAATCACCTAGACAAGATACTAAAGATAGCATCATAATACTATCAGTACCACAAAAAGTTCTTTTGAACTGAATGAGGGATCTAGTAGACGTCTGTCATCCGGACTAATCAGAATCTACCAGCTACAGTCCGAATCACTTTATTGCGGATCATTGATCAACAAACAATGGGTTGAAACTCGTCATTATAAATCAACTTCCTTCACTATAAGCAGTTGTTAGTAAGGATAGAAGAGCCTATAGAATACCACCGTACAGAATTCTTAAGATGGATTACAATGCGAATTCGTAAATCGAGGGCAGCTTGAGGGCGCATTCCAAATGGAAACCAGTTGTAGATAAGGCTGTTTAGTCCTACCAACGTTTTTTCTTCAGGTGGTTTACTGGATTATGAAGAGCTCTAAATTTTAGGGGCAGCATAAAATACAGCGGACTGCATGGATGCACAGAGACGATTTGGATTTCGCAGATAAACCGGCCCTATTATCACATAAACAGCCGCAAACAAAGGTGAAGATGGTAATTAAAGCAACAAATTCCGCAACAGTAGGCTTCAAAATTCATATTTAAAACAGCCAGATCCTAAAATATGACACATAGAGTGCCAACCAAATCATACTCAATGAAGAAACTCTGGTAAAGGTGTAAACGTTTACCTATCTGAGCAAAATTTATAAAAAAACAGGATTTGACTAGGATGTCAAGGAATGAAATGGATAAGCAAGGTATGTATTTTCGAAGGTTGAAGAACATATATGACTCAATTCAACCGTCAACCAACACCAAAGTCAGGATTTTCAGCAAAAATGTCAAGATAGTTCTGTTGCATGGAGCATGAACTAGGAAAACTACCGAACCATCATATAAAAGATACAAGTAAATTTTTAACACTGGAATAATCTACAGCAATCTATCTATAAAATCAAATCATTTGCATTCTTCACTTAATGTATCAATGCCTACTACTCCTCAGAAAATGCCTTAATGGTGATTACAGCTGTGAGTACATTCCATTTTACGAGTAAGATAATAGGAACTAAATGTCTAATCGTTTTATTACCGACTCTACTAACTGAAATACTTACTTGCAGGTACTTTACACTAACACCACCCCTTGCAAAATTAACTAATTTGAATAATATGTAACCCAAACATTACTTACTTACGCCTGTTACCGCTGATGGAGCATAGGCCGCCGACCAGCATTCTCCAACAAACCCAAACATTAAAACATAAATTAGTCTTGTACCTGAATCATGGTAGACTTGATAGGCCTCATTGACTTATCGTTGTAACTACTGACTTCATTCTTACGTGTTCACTATCTCCGTTTTATCTTTTCTAGTTGTAGACAATCATAACCAATGTGTTGTGACACTGGAAACGACACTAAACGCACCGATCATACAGCAACATGATGCATTGTTACAGAGGATTAATAATTCCTCACTGATGCCTTGCATTATTGCTATATGTATGAAAAATATGCTTCCTAAACAATTTTCGAACTAGAACACTTCAAACAATGTGACACGACATATCTGTACCCAACATTAAATATTCCTATCCATATCAAGCTGACTAAGCCTGTGAATCGGAGTGAATCTTGTAATTATTATCCTCAAGAAATGTTATCATTACTAACGTAAGTGTTTTACGCCAGTAAAGTAAAACGAAACGAATTTCTGAGAAGTGAACACTTCCTTTGGCTAACAGATGGATATCTCGCAAAAGCCAGTTGAGCCTCCCGTTTCCGTGCCGAAATTTTATCAGATACAAGGATAAAAGCACTGATGAGGCTCCTAAGATCAGTGAAGCAGCTCACATGCTCAACTACTTCACTCCATATCACTAGTTCGGACCCCAGACGCAAGCTAATCCTGAAGCAACATTTCTCATTAAGAGTGTAAGAATCGCGTCCCGATTATGTTTCCATTGTTACTTAGGGTGATCAGAAGATTCCGGCCTTTTTCAGCATAACCAAACCGAACTATATCATCCGCATATTATAAGTGAACAAGTGAATCTGCTGGTAGAAAGTCAACTTCTGAAAAGTCAGTCGATGAAAGTGTCGTCTCTAAAAGCATGTTAGCGCCGAAGTTGAATAAGAGTGGAGAAACTGGACAACCCTGAAAAACACCACACATAACAACAAATACATGAGAAGATGGACAGTGTAGCAACAGCCTCTGCAGCAGTAGGTCCCAACATACACAAAGGAAGAAGCAAGATCCCCTGAAACAACATATGCACCAGCCAAATCACATATAATGGAACTTTGGAAGATGTGGATACTTTTACGTATCTGGGCAGCATCATTAATAAACGAGGTGGATCAGATGTATATCAGGTATTAAAACTGGATCAGCATCTTTAAAAATCCCAGGGGTCGATCCATCAGGATCTGCTGCTCTCCCTCGCTTCAGATCGCCTTCAGCCCTTTCGACTGCATTAAGAGTTGGATCACTTACATTAATTTGCCATTCACGTTGTTTAGAGATGGAAGGACTTGCTGAAGATAGTTGAACTGTTCTCTAAAGTGTTCTGCATATCGATGTAAGCTTGTCGATTGAGAGTGAATAATAGTCCCATCTTCTTCTGAGAATCTCGCTAAAAGCCAGACCTCTAATACCAGGTTCCTTGAGAAGTCTGAACAGTTGCCTACTGCTACCTAACGCCGCCGCCTTTTCCAACTCTCTTGCCTTTGCTAACCACCACTGTTTACGATCGTTGCATAGGCTTTTGATCAGCCTGCGCTAAAGCTGCCTCCGCTCCTCATCGCGTCCACAACCGAATGAGATCAGTTGCCGAGTCTATCAGTTCAGTAGATGCCACTGGAATCTACTGCTTCCTAAAATTTCGGTCTAAATTACTGGCAGAAATCATTGCTGTTTCCACAGCTCTTCGGATATCAGTCCAAGCTGCCTTGATGTGGACATAATTTACGTAGTCGACCAACTGTCTTTCCAGTCGCTCCTGAAATGTACTCTTGGCTTTTTATCTTCCAGTAGAACTCTAAGAGGTTTTCTCAATGTGGCATTTTTATCACCAGTAAGCCGCAGACAGATAGATACGTGCTAGCACTACAGCATGACCTGAATCTAACATGTGCTCCAGAACGAACGGCAGTCTTCTATCGAGCCTCTCCATCGGTGGCTGATAGCGAGCTGGTCTAGTCCGGTTCGGCTTCGAGTCCATTTCGAGGGTCGCCATGCCAAAACATGTCTTTTCTTTATGCCTAAAGTTGGTGTTCGCCAGAAATAGGCCGTTATTTGAGCACAGTTGCAGCAGATAGTCACCATTACATGTTCCATGTACCATGACACTATAAAACCCACCCAGTTGACTTTCTGTCTCGTTTAGTATACCTACTTGAGCATTATAATCACCAGACACTATTGCTACATCAGAGCGCTTAGGTTTGTGTTAGGTTTGACATTCAAATCCCAGACCTAACAAAGAGTTTGCGAATGGCTGTTTCTAGACAAGATACAAAGCATGAGCAGAAGGCAGAATTGACATGAAAGGTTTTAGAGTGGCAAATTACATCCAACAGAACATACGTTAGATTGATACTCAGAATGATTTTCTCCTCTGTTTTTTGATTGAGCAGCATGCCAAAGACCTATCTCTTTCCCCTTCAAACCTCGTGGTCTAATAACTGTGAGGAATAAGAAACACATAAACTGCCTCTTACCTTTGTTTGCACGAGACATACTAAAACCAATCCTAACGACTGGACAGAGCCTAAGGACAGGCAGTAACATATAACGAATGGACCAAATTCCCCGCGTCTGGTGAACCAACACTGAACGTAGGACTAACTTCACGAAAACTTATAAAATCTGTCACTCACTGTTAACTACAAAGCTGACGATTAAGTGAGAACATGTAGATATTTAGAAACATAAAATCAACGGTGCTTAATGAGCCACATCCCATCCAGAATGCTAAGATTTCAATTTTTCCTAATATCACGACCATGAATATCTTAAAAATATCTCTTGGTCAGTGTGAATTATCTCCAAATCAGAAATTCAAAGTGGTCAACATAACTTTCAAGACACAATAAAGGTAACATCCTGTAGATAATAAGTTGAGGTTGTAGAATTCACAGCGTGTATCTACATTCACATTGGATAAGCCAATATTTTCGATAGGAAGTTGTGAATTTTTAAAACGTATCGTATGAAGATTTATGCCTATCAGTAAGTAAGACATCAGTGTATTGACATTCAGTTCCAGCCAGAGCGTTTCGATATGCTTCCGTTCAATCACACGCATTATTGCCCACATTCCTCTGATGATATCTGAACTGGCAAAAAGATCCAGTCTAAAGCGTAGCTCAGATATAAAGAAGAGAAAAAGACATTGGCTAACAGTTTCTCACCATAAGCAGTGCAGTTCTGAAAGCTAAATCTCTCTTATTTTTCAGACTGTAAATTGAAAAACGATAAAAGTTTACTGTATACAATATTAGCAAACAACTTTTGGGCTGAAATATCTACTCTTTTACACCGGGTAGTTATAAACGACCAAGGGTTAACAGCACGGTCTTTTAAATTTCAATAACAACCAAACTCCTATTCTCATACAATTTAAGAGCTTTCTCACATGTTTTCGCGTTAATACGCACGAAAATGACTTCGAAATACGAATTTGTTGACCTGCATTAATCTTTAGTGGGAAGTGAAGCTGGCAATTTTATTGTATGTATTACCAAAAGGAGGTTTAAAATACTGGGGTGAGATAAACCGGATATGGAAGTAAGTACAGCGTTTTTAAGTCGATGGAATTAAATTATATGTGAAAGCATACTCAAAACGAATGATTAGTCATGATTCCACCCGATTGAAAAAAAGTACACAAACGGAGTTCCGAAAGAGAATAAACGCTTAAATATCCACAATTTTTAGTGTTTGTAATGGTTAAGAACTGGGGAGTCAATCAGTTGGTCTTGGTAAGCTCCGACACAATAAGAGTATCCTAAAAGTTAAGTCATACCAAATCACTGAACTACTATTTTCATGCTTTGTTTCATTCCTAAATGGACGTCAAGAAGTGGTTAAATACAACGATTGCCTTTCATCACCAAGACCTATAACTAATGGAATTATCCAAGGAAGTGTATTAGTTTCACTCTTTTTTCTAATGTACATAAACCGTTTATGTATTACTATAAAATTTGGAAGGGCATGCTAATATGCTGATAATCTGAAAATAGTATAAAGTTGTAAGCCGAAAATAAAGCTAGGATTCAACGACCTTGATAACTAACCTACCTGGAGCGAAACATAGCAGCAACCCTTTAACCCCGACAAATGTGGTACCATGTCTTTTAGTAAGCATCACCATGAAATACCACTACTTACAAAATGTAGGGTCCAGACGATCATCGCAGCGCGCGATCTGAGTAATCGTTACTCCAGAAGCCTAAAATTTCAAGAAAATGCCTGTACAATTATCTCTAAGTCTAGACGGCTAATGGGGTGTATAAATAAGAACTTCTTGATAAGTGAGGCTAAGCTTACACTCTTCAAAATGTGTGTTAAGCACTCACTTGAATATTGCTCACTTATCTTTCGAAACATGAATATCATAGACGAGATACGAGTAGAAAATGTTCGAAGAAGATTCACCCGGTGACTGCTAGGATGGAACCATACTCTAAACTACACAGAAAGATGGAAACATCTTTCCCTAGAACCTATATGGAGCTGTCGGTTGAAAACAACAACCTAATACTCCTCTCGTTCGTAAGATACCGCGCAATTACGATAAGGCTTACAGACTCAGAAACGCTGCATATGCACTACCAACGGCAAAACACAAAATATCATTGATTTATAATTTCTTTATAACACGATACAGTCCAGATACAGATTAACAATTACTACCTTTATTTCAGACACAATCACCAGGTTCAAGAAACTAGTATTGCTGTTGCTACACTCAAAAGAGATTTTTCACCTATTTCCAGAACTCACTGAATCTCGAGGCACTCATTCTAAAATTACATTTACATTATCCTTAGCAACTAATGACAGACCATGAATATATTTCACCTGCATGACACACGGGATGATGGAAGAATGCCCCTAGTCCCACTAACAGCAGTAGGTTACCTCTTTATGGTGATACCCTAAAAATTTAAATTCGTATCATTATCTTCTTATGTTTCACAGCACTTCTAGTTTATATTTATAGTAGACAAGTGAAATGAAAATCCAGTAGTTTCTGCTCAGCTAATGTCACTTACAAGAAACTCGAAATTCCTACATCATTGTGAGTTCCTCCTTGTTTAAGTGTTAACAGTTTAATAAATTTTTATTTCTTCAATTCATTAACCTCAAAACACCTTGCTATCTTACCAGTTTATCGTCTCACAAATGAAATTTTAACACTATTTTTCCTCTTTTTTCTTTCTTCAGCTGCCTATTCTTCAAATCTCCAAACAGCGTATTTACTGACCCATAACTTACAATTTATACCACTGACTAACTTAAAAGCAATGTAACATGCTATGTGCACATTTAGTCCAACATAGAGAAGTTAAAGTTGTCTTGTTTGCCTGTAACGTGGAGCTAGTTGATAGTGGATTCCGACAAGGTGCACCAAAAATAGAGTTTAGACTAAACAACATTATGTAAAATCTACCATTGAACGTAAGACTGCATAACATCACGTAAGGAGGTCGAACGGTGTATCTCACCAGCAGTCATGACAGTGGAGCGATAACCTCAATCTAGCAATGTCTGTGGGGCAGAACACTTTGTTTGCTAACGGCCCCTTTCGATATTATAGGATGTAATTAATGCATGATATTGATGTTACCTTTCCTTGTTAACCACGTCTTGGACTTACGTTTGCAACCTTGAACTGGTTTCAGTTCCTACCTAGAAATCCTATTACAAGAAGATTTAAAAAAATATGGTGTAAAAGAGCTCACTTGTGACGTCTTGAGCCACAGCGTTAAAAGGAAAAAGGGCAAATAATATATCACTAAAGCATCAGATCACTCTGCTTCATCATTATATTCTATAAATCAGTATCGTTTCCGACAATTTAGTTCTTATGAATTTCCTCTATTAATAAGATTGATTGCCCGTTCATTATCTTTCTATAAACTTGTCTTCATAATTCTACATATGTGCAGGAGTATAGTTAGTGTTCCACTATAAAAAAAGTCTGAGTAATCATATCTTCGTTTTATCCCAGAATATTTTCTGTTCTGATCCTCTCACATTTCTTTCTATTTCTCTTTTCCAGCACTTTATTCTAATCTTTAGATATTAGTGTGGACATTTGCCGAAGCATGTGAATTTGTTATCTGACGAATGTCAACCTCATCGATTCTTGACATATGCAGACCTGGGTTTATCTTGCATTGGTCCTCAGCCATTAGTGACTCGTCAAAACAAAACTATCGCAACCCATCCAAACCATCGCATTGTACATTGCGGAGTCTGAAACATTATCTATAGTTTTATGTGCAAAATTTTATCATTCTGTATGAAAAATATAAGTAAATTGGCAAACCTTATTTAACATATGTTAACAACTTTAACATTCCGACCTTCCCTGTAAATTGACGGAGCTCTTGTAACTTGATGTTATCCGAGAATAAATTATAATTATCATTATTTTCAAGAATACACAATGAATTATCCGTGGTGTGTGATGACTATCAATCATGATGCTAATTTCTGTTCCTTTCTGTTCATTTTGATGCTGACTATACATAGTAGCTCCTCACACTCCGTGATACGAGAGATTTAATTTTTCTAAATATCTACATGTTCTCACTTAATCGTCAGCTTTGTAGTTAACAGTGAGTGACAGATTTTATAAGTTTTCGTGAAGTTAGTCCTACGTTCAGTGTTGGTTGACCAGACGCGGGGAATTTGGTCCATTCGTTATATGTTACTGCCTGTCCTTAGGCTCTGTCCAGTCGTTAGGATTGGTTTTAGTATGTCTCGTGCAAACAAAGGTAAGAGGCAGTTTATGTGTTTCTTATTCCTCACAGTTATTAGACCACGAGGTTTGAAGGGGAAAGAGATAGGTCTTTGGCATGCTGCTCAATCAAAAAACAGAGGAGAAAATCATTCTGAGTATCAATCTAACGTATGTTCTGTTGGATGTAATTTGCCACTCTAAAACCTTTCATGTCAATTCTGCCTTCTGCTCATGCTTTGTATCTTGTCTAGAAACAGCCATTCGCAAACTCTTTGTTAGGTCTGGGATTTGAATGTCAAACCTAACACAAACCTAAGCGCTCTGATGTAGCAATAGTGTCTGGTGATTATAATGCTCAAGTAGGTATACTAAACGAGACAGAAAGTCAACTGGGTGGGTTTTATAGTGTCATGGTACATGGAACATGTAATGGTGACTATCTGCTGCAACTGTGCTCAAATAACGGCCTATTTCTGGCAAACACCAACTTTAGGCATAAAGAAAAGACATGTTTTGGCATGGCGACCCTCGAAATGGACTCGAAGCCGAACCGGACTAGACCAGCTCGCTATCAGCCATCGATGGAGAGGCTCGATAGAAGACTGCCGTTCGTTCTGGAGCACATGTTAGATTCAGGTCATGCTGTAGTGCTAGCACGTATCTATCTGTCTGCGGCTTACTGGTGATAAAAATGCCACATTGAGAAAACCTCTTAGAGTTCTACTGGAAGATAAAAAGCCAAGAGTACATTTCAGGAGCGACTGGAAAGACAGTTGGTCGACTACGTAAATTATGTCCACATCAAGGCAGCTTGGACTGATATCCGAAGAGCTGTGGAAACAGC